AAGGTCCATTATCGGACAATTCGGATGTAATAGTTTATGCCAGTTATTAGTAGTAATTAACTCTGAAAGTATTTGTAGGATAGGATCAGCTTTGGTCTCTCTTTGAATATCTAGAAATAAAAGGGCTTTAGGACATGCGTATTCAGCTGTAAAATTGACATATTTTCCTTGCCCTTTGTACTCACAAGGGTCTACAGGGTGTTGACTAGAATAATCAGATATATTATTTTGTCATTGAACGTAGTGTAGATCAAAAGAATATCCCTGTAATCGAAAAGTCATACGATCAATGTGAAGTAGTACTGTAGCGTTTGAGTTGATTAAAATCTTTACAATAGCTTCATGGTTGCTGTACATTTTTAAAGGGTGTCCAAGTAGGTATGTTTTGTTGTACTCGCAGGCGTATACTATCATAGTAACCATAGCTAAACTTTCTCTTTCGAGCGTAGAATAGCGTTTTGTTCAGGCAATAGCGCTTTCGAATTATAAGATATTAGTTTAAAGTCTTGTTTATTTGGAGTGTTTTGAATAATGACTGCCAATATGCCTGCAAGACTTGCATCGGGACCTTTGTTGGGATGAAGTATCCAACACATGAGTCGAATGTCATAGCTTTATTTAGTTTGTCAAATGCATGCTGGCACTCAAGGTTCCAGTTCCATAGCGAATCTTTATGCAAAAGGTTTCTTAAAGTATAAGTAACTGTACTGTAGTGTAGAATGAAATGTTTAAAATAATTCCTAAGGCCGAAAAAAATTAGTGTTTTCTGGTGTTGGCATGTTCTTGATACTATAAAGGTTTTCTGGATCTGGTTGCATTCCTTCTTTTGAAAATATAAATCCATAAAATTCAACTTTTTCTTTTCCAAGTAAGCATTTTTCAAAATTTATTGTTAAACCTCTCTGTTTAAACCTTTCTAATAATTTATGTAATATTAAATTGTGCTCTTTTGTATTCGAAGCAAAAGTTAGAACATCGTCGGCAATGTTCAAAGTACCTTCTATATGTTTTAAAACTTCTCGTATAGCGTTTTGTAGTTCTTTCTGTGTAGAGTTTACTTGTAAAAGTCTTGTAAAACGTTTAATTTGAGTTTCAGATTGACAAATAGTTATTGATCTGAATTCCGGCTTAAGTTCGAGCTGGTGAAATACCTTCATTAAATCTAGTTTTGAGAAAACGGCGGAGTCTTTTAGTTTTATTACAACATCACCCAGGGTTAGAGTTAAAAACTCGTTCTTTCAACAGCTTTGTTAGCTACTCACATGTTTACGCAAATTCTAAGGTTGCCGTCATTTTTTGGAACAATTACCATTGGACTTTTTTTCTAAGTTGGGAAGAAGTAATAATTGAAACGGTAAAAGACAAAGCGACATCTAGGGTGTCGCTTCGTCTGTTACAGTTTCAATTATTCCTTCTGCTTCAAGTTTTGCAAGTTTAACTTTAACTTTTTCTCTAAGTGCAAAAGGAATTCTTTCTCTTTATGCGACTGGTGGTATACTTTCATTAAATTTCAATTTTACTTGGTAGTTAGAAAGTTTTCCTTTTTTTACCGCTAAAAACAGAATTTTTGTACAAGTGGTTGTAATCGTTTTGGTGCGAAGGAGATGTTTAGTTTGCTAATGTTCTACAAACTTGTTGTTTACTTTATCTTTATCCTTATCAGCAAATTCGCATAGAATAGCTTGTTCGTTTAATTGAACGAAAAACTGCTGAGTGGTTTCATCTATACGTTGAGCCATTTTTCGAAAAATAAAGATTTTATAGCTCGGGTTTACTTGGGTTTTGAAATTTTTATCAAAAGTTTTGTCAGTTTACTGATATGTGATTAGCATACCTTGAGGTATAATGTTTTCATAAATTTTGCAAGAATTATCTCCGATTAAAGTTAGAAGTAACGAAAGTTTTTATTTGTTGTCTGTAATTATAAGTGAATTGCAAAGCAACTCAAATCCTATAATGTGGTGTTTCCAGCTCGAAAATAACTTACTCGCATCTTTAGTACATGAATGGTGAAAAGTTTGGTAAATTAAGGGTTTTTATAGCCATGAATAAATATACTGTTTATAGAAATCTTCGTTAAATTTTATTTTAAATTTCTTATCTTTTACCTTCGTCATCAATTTGATGATAAACTACGACCTTTCTTATCGCTTATTTTCTGTATAATGACTTTATAAAATTACAATAACGTGAATATAGTTTTAGTTAAGATTGTGTCGCATAACTCAACCTACAAAAACCTGCACCTACAAACTTGATTTACAAAATAAGACATCTACTAAAAAGTGAAAATAATTTTTAGATGTTTACTGATTGTTTTCAACCTATTATAATTCTTTTTTAATTCGACCGGTTTATGACGTTTTCATTTTCTACCGATTTTTTTCTCAACCGATTTTAGAGACTTTTATTTTCAACCAATTTGAAATAATTTGATTTTCAACGGGTTATAGGCAATATTCATTTCAACCTACAAGTCTGTGTTTTTACCTGTTCCCTCCTACCCCCCCAACCTCCACCTTGTATTAAGGACTCGAGAGTAATATATAAAAAAAGATGTCAGAAAGCGAAAATTGGTACTGAAGGAGGCGTAAATACCCTTGTTAAATGCCCTTCCGTGGTGCTCTACGATAAGACCGTTAGGTCTCTTTGGAGAATAAATACTGACATTTACATCAAATGTTATAAAATGATTTTTTTTTCTTTTTCTTTTAATTATTAAGGTGCTCCAACAAAACCTAATGGTTTTGTCGTAGAGATGCGCAAAAGAGTATTTAAGAGGATATTCCTTACAGCGCCAAAAACAGTAGGATCAGCAGAGAGAAGCTTTAGTAAGCTTAAACCTAAGAAAAATGATCTAAAGTCTATCATTTCAATCCAATTCAGAATCGCCTTAACAAGCTTGCTAGGTTAAGTTTTGAGTTTGACGATACAAAATATATAGACTTTGACACAGTAATCTGTAGTTTTAATTAAAAAAAAAGCACGCAAAACAACCTTGTTTTAACAAAGTTGTTCTATTTAACATTTGTATCATTTAAATAACTTTTATAGACTCTTCTGTGCATATTTAACTATTTTCTGAAAACTTTTTATTTGAATTGTATCTTAAAAGATACTAAGTACAATTTTTGCCGATTCTTTAGGAGAGAGTGGCTTATAAATTACTGCACCTGTACATTTTTTTACTGCACCAGTACATTTTTTTAGGAGATTTAGAAAGGTTTGTTTAGGAGAGAGTGGGCTTATAAAAGATTAATGTACAAACACGTTTGTGTTTGCTTGCGTTATGCTCTTGAACCATTTTTGCGGAGTTCAGATGTATTTTCAACAATTAAAAAGAGAAATTATATGATTTCAAACTTTATTTGTGAAAATATTTTAAATAACTTATAGTATGTTTTATTAATTATTAATTCAATTAAAACCATTTAAGTTAAACGTTTCGTGGAGTCAATGGCAGAAATCTCAAACAAAACTGTACCTTAGAAGTTAACATCATTTTTATTTTACATTTATTTTTATCAAACAATATCAAACAAAGAAGGAACAACCTCAATTTTATTATCATACATCAAATAAATACTTGCAAATATTTTACCTTTATTGTTTATCATACAAAGAAGAAACGATTGAAGGGACGATTGAATAAGCGTGAACTTCATAAGTGCGAACTGGCATAAGTGCAAATAGTGTAAGTGCAAACTGGCATAAGCTCGAACTGGCATAAATGCAAAGCAGTTACAAAAACTGGCACAAATACGAAGTGGCATAAGAAGTGCTCCAAAAAAATTTGCAAACATCGGCATACGTGCAAAACAGTTACAGAAACCGACATAATTGCGACTTAGGTTAAGTGCGCCGAATAAATTTACAAAAATTGGAGCTGTTGCAAAAACTGGAGCAAGTGCGCCGAATAAATTTGCAAACATTGGCATAAGTGCGAAATGCCAATTTGCACTTACGCCAATATTTCGGCGCACTTATGCTAGTTTTTGCAACTGCTTCGCATTTCTGCCAATGTTGGCAAATTTATTTGACGCACTTCTGCCAATTTTTGTAACTGCTTCGTTTTTTATTTTCAAACTATTTCAAAGCACAAAGTTTGAAAATTCTTTTGGCCCACTTCTGCCATTTTAAAGATTTTTGATACATCAAAGTAAAAATTGAACAGTTTGTTTGATGTTAATATACACACTGATGTTTAACAGTAATGCATTGTCCAAGTTCTAAATTTAAAGCTTATAGTGTAAGAATTATTTTAATGTTTAATGTTAAAATAATATTGGTTAATAGTTTAAGAATAAAAGCGTTTTTCACTTCAAATTTTAAGTATGAACTTTTTTTTTTATTTGAAAAAAAAAACAAACAAAAAAAAAAAAAAGCATGAAATGAAAAGATAAAATAAAATAGGTGAACAGTAAATTTGCCGCAGCTTTATAAACCTGGGCTAAATAAATACAATTGTTTCAATATAAATACAGAAGACCGGAGCAAGAAGACACTATTAGTCGCCAAGCTTTAAACTATAAAAGATTGCTTTTTGCAACATGAAATATTTTACTGACTTGAATACCTAAACATAAAAAATGCATTAACTTAAACTAAACAAGTCAAAAACTAAAAAACTAAAGTTTCAATGCTTTTGAAATGTGTTTATTACTTCGTTGGTTCATCGTTGAAACATGTTTATTACTTCGTTGAAACATGTTTATTACTGTTTATTACATCGTTGAAACATGTGTATTACTTGCGGTAGTGGTGTAGTGGTAGAGCGCTCGCTTCATAAACGAGTGGTTCGGAGTTCGATCCCCACCACGTCCCTGGTAGTACCGCGCTCAACTCGTTTCTCCGCGCAGCGGCCTTGCTCGTCAAGGTTCGTGTTTCGGAGTTATAGAGTTGAGAGAGGGTTATAACCACAAATAAGTAGCCTCCTCGTCTGTAGTGGCCTTCTCGGCCTTGAGGAGGTGAATTAAAAAATTTAAAAAAAAACTTCGTTGTTTCATGTTTACTACTATTTATTAATTTATTACTTATTATCAACATGTTTATTACTTCAAATAAGCAATCATAACTCTGCTCTAAATTAAATATATTTTATAATTGTAAAATATTTAAAAAAATTATGAAGCTGAAGAGTTCCTCATGACGCCACCAAATACCTAATAAAAAAAAATAATTTCTTCACTAATTATTGGTATTAATACTAATAAATATATAACAACGATTAATAAATAATAAAATAAAATGAAATTATAAAAAAAGTATAAATAAAACAGATGTAAATCACGAGAGTGTAATTTGAAACTAAGTTGGCAATGGAAGATAAAGTTAAAATTAAACATTAAAATAAATTTTGGATATCATCAAGTTAACAGAATTATTGTCTATAGAGAATTAAAATAAAATCTGATGAATTTATATAATTATCAGTCCTGAATTTATACTACAATTATCAATACATATCCTGACAAATACAATTACAACAATATTATAGATACAACAATATTTTTATGGATGCAACAATATTATTATTGATGCAGCAATAGGGTTCTATTAACAAATCAAAAACATCAATATATATAATATGGATAACAAAAGAAAGTACATATGGATAAAAATGTAGTCTAACAGATAAAAAATAGACTTTTGATTCCAGGACATGCCGGATATTTCGCTACAATGGTTATTTTTGGAAAAAAAATTTTTTTTTCCGATAGCCAACTTAACAAATTACTGACCATCGTAATAACTTATATAAATAAAACAACCAACCAGATAAAATTTTTTTTTTTCGAATATCGAATATTGTATCAAATATCAAATTTAAAGTAAAAGCAGAAACATTGATAGTTTTTTAACAGGTTTCTAAAAAAAACCTTTCGAGAAGTATATTTGCATGGCATAATTAAAAAAAAGATATAAATCTTTAACTAAAATATATAGACAATTTTATTTTAATGCTATAGACAATTTTATATTAATGGGAGAGGGTGTGTGATAAATCTGCCAACAAAGTTTTTCAGACAAAAAACAAAACCTACAAATTGCTAAATTATAGTCTTATTATTTGTAATCTTTTTCTAAAATATGTGCTATATCTTGACAATAATACTTAATAAGAGGTAAAAAGTAAGGAACGGATGTGACTTAGAGATGAAACTTACGGATAAAAACAACATTTAAAACCCCTTTCAAAAATCCAATACTACATACATCAATTAAGAAAAGAGTAAAAGTAAAGAGTTATAATAATAAAAAATGTAAAGGTAACAAAAAAAAAAAAAGAAAAGAAAAAAAAAAGCACAAATTCCCCAAAAAACGAATCCCTTTCCTTCTACATCCCTTTGATAACAATAACAACAAAAAACTACAAAAAAAAAGTTTTTCCACCTCCTCTGGAACTTCCCTTTGCATTAATTGTATATCATCTAAATAAAATATTTTTAAAATCATAAAATTTCTATAAAATAAATTTCAAAACAAAAAAGAAAACATTGGAAGCATTTTACCTTCATCACCATCATCTTCAGAGCTAGCTTCAGCAATGTCAATCTCATCTGGATTTTTTGATTGTTCATATTCTGTTGTGTTAGTTTCACCTCGCACAAACAGTACACTTTTTTGTGTTACTATAGAAGAAGGTGCATCCTTAGCAGCTTCTTCAGCAAGTGCATTAGCTTGTTCTTCTAACTTTTCCATAACATTTTTAGAATCAGCTTCTACAGTGTAAAGTAACAAAAAATGAGATTATTAAGTGGTGCTTCCAGTGAAGGGGACAAAATACCTCACCCTCTAAAACTCCACCCAAAACTATAATGACTTCTTAAGCATTTTTTAGGAATATGCAAGAACTAAAAGTTCTATTTAACTTAATTTTACATGTTAAACAATTTGAATGGCTAAGACCAACCTGAAATTGCTTGAGACGCAAGGATTTGTGCAGACATAAAGTTGACCTGAAAAAAAAACAACCTAATTTCATAGTATATTTAACAAAAACTGAAAACTATTCCAAATAATAATTCATAGAATAAAAAATAAAATAAAATAAAAAAATCAAACCTGGGTATTGTATTGTGCTTGCACGCTTCTTTTGATTCTCAACATTTCTCTAAAAGTATCCTCATTTCCGTGTTTGACTTCAAAATCATGCCAGGCTTTCCAGAAATTTGCTGCAATCTATAATAAAAAGAAGCAAATTTTATAAACAATTTAAAAAATTCAAAACTTTACGACAATTAAAGCTTTTTATTCATTTTTTTAACAAGAATTAAAAAATCAATAACAAAAATTTAATAATCAGAATTAAAAATTTAATAATCAGAATTAAAAATTTAATAATCAGAATTAAAAATTTAATAATCAGAATTAAAAATTTAATAATCAGAATTAAAAATTTAATAATCAATCAGAATTATCAAATAATATCAAAAAGACAATTAAAGTGACAAAAACAAACCCTTGGATCACACATTTGAGAACCAAAACTATATATAGCACGAGCTCGATCTATTTCACCAAGTTTTGTTTCAAGATCAGCATAGCGTAAACAAATAGTTCTAAATTAACATTTAAAAAATTGAAAATGCTAAAATATTAAAAAAAAAAATGATTCTATAAAAAAAATCTACCTAGCATGCTCATCTGAGAGTGCTTCAATAGCTTTTTCATATATAGTTCGTGTATGGGTTATTCCAAATAATTCAGCTGCCCGTTTAATGTAAATATTAAAAATCTAAACAATTGAAAAAAAGAGCTAAGATTTAAGAATTAATATTATTTACAGTTATTTATAGACTATGAGGTAATAATAAAATAGAAAGCTATAGTAGTTCAAAAACCACAAGTGAAATTAATAGTAATTTCACTTTGACAGCTTATACATTGTTTCGTTTTTCTAGGTAAACAAATTAAATATTAATTTACAAATCATATAACTCAATTTGATAACTCACATTAATATTTATCAATGTGAGTTATGAATAAGTTCAAGTTTTTGCTTTTGATGATAAACTCAGATAGTTTGTTCTACCATTGATGAGACATAGATAGGTACCTATAGGCTATAAATAAATATAATTTTTTTTTACTAAATCACCTCAAATTGTTCAGATTTAGGAACAGCCTTAGTTGCTCTTTCATAAACTGCCATAGCATGTCGAGACAAACCAAAGTCTTCTTCAAGCTTCGCATATAAAAGGTAAAGATTTTTTGCAAACTTTTCAGGACAATTTTCAAGACATTGTTCAAATAGATCTCTTGCTCTCTCAAGTTTATTACCTCCCTAAATAAGATTTATTTAAAATACAATCTCTGTAAAAAAAAAGTTTATTTTCTCTCTAAAAATAACTATACTATTTAAAACTATACAGCTCAACAATTAATTTAATAATAAAATAATAAAGATGGTATCTTTATTATTTTATTATTATCAGATCATATTAATTTATATCAGTCAATTACCTTTTTGTGAATTACCTTATTCTTTTTTATAAAATAATTTAAAATAAATATTTTTAGATTTTAAAAATTTGAAATATGAGCAATTGAAATATTTTGAATTGAATCAAAAAAATTGAAGCATGAGCAATTGAAATATTTTGAGCATCTTTTAATTACTTTTTAATACCATGACTTTTAATACCAGTATAGTAAGTCCAAAAATTTGGTATACCCACATGATTTGGTGTACCTACAGAGTTTTTCTCAATGAATTCAAAAATATTCTACAATCAAATGACTTCTCCCAGTTTATTAAAAATATTGATGTTTTATTGACTATTATTAACAATACTTTACTTTTTTTAATCTTTCATTTTTGGTGTTAAAAATGAAGACCAAATACAGGGAAAAAGGTATAATATTAAGGCTTGATGTATTTATATATATATATATATATATATATATATATATATATATATATATATATATATATATATATATATATATATATATATATATATCCTTATAGTGTAGTCGAAAGAGACTTTTATAGTAAAAAAAAGTCTCTTTTGACTACAATTTTTATTACGTCGTCTCTTAAGCTGTATTTGGTTGTCATCAAAATGTCAAAGCAATTAAATTAATGCAATAATAATGACTAGAAAGTTTTTTTTAATTAGTGGTGTTTTTATTTTTGTTTTATTAAAAAACATTTTAAAAACATGCGTAAGTGTTGCTACATCGACTATCTTATAGCCTGCTGATACAAGGGAGTGTTGCTGCATCGTCTATCTTATAGCCTGACTCGCAAAGGAGTGCTGTTACATCGACTGACAAATAGCCTGACTCACAAGGGAGTGCTGCTACATCGATCAGGCTTATTAACGCGCTCTTTTAAAACAGTTTATGGGAAAAACTTTGTGATTACCATGCAAGACTATATATATATATATATATATATATATATATATATATATATATATATATATATATACATATATATATATATATATATATATATATATATATATATATATATATATATATATATATATATATATATATATATATATATTTCAAATTAAACTGTAATTTATAATGTATTGAAAGTTTTATGATTTCTAAATAAAGCATTTTATATTTTGATATTGATATTATATGTGTAGATTGACTGTTAAGTAATTGATGCTCAACCTGAGGCACTTAGAAATTTCATATTTTGAAAATTATACTTAAGCTGATGAATATAAAGTTGTTTTTTATACATAAGGGTAGATTTTTTTTCTTCTAACTAGGTCAACATGGCTATCAAAAGAAGCGTAATTAAATAAGGATTTTAAAAATAATATTTCTTTTGTTTTTTTAAATAAAGATTTTAGATTTTATTGAAGGAATAGTAACAGGAGCATTTTCTAAGTATGCGTTTCCTGAAAAAAAAATCTAAAATCCTAAAAATTTAAAATAAACTTAAAATTCTTTTTCAAAATTGCTATTTTTTTCAAGTTTTAAATACTATTTTCTATACATAAAAAACAACTCTCTTTATATTTTAAAAAAAAAAGAGAAGGGAAAACAACACACCATACAGGGCTTGAAACAAAAAACTTTTTTGTTATGGACAATTTGTCTGATAAACACTCAAGTTTTGGCAAACATGTCAGATAAAACCTAAAGAAGAGTGATCGAACACCATTCGCAAATATTTTATTTTTACAACTTGACCACACAATTTGTTTTTTGAAACTCTAGTTTCAAAAATGAGCTAAAAATAAAAATAAAATTCATAAGATAACTTATCTAAAAAAAGAAAATCTTAAACAAAAAGAAAAAATCTAAGCTCGAAAAACTTAAACTAAAAAGGAAAAAATATTTATATTGCGTTTTTTAATAATTATTATACTATGCAAAATTAGGGATGGCACTTTTACTTATTTTAATGTAAAAAGGCGATTTACTTTTAAGTGTAAATTACTTACATAACTCATATTAAAATATATAATTCACACTTACATTTAAAAGTAATTTTTTTTTTTTATTACATAAATTATATTACAAGTAAAACTTAATTACATAAATTTAATTATTTAAATTCGTAACTGTTACTTGAAAAAGTAATTTTTTTTACGAGTAAAAATAAATTACTTTAAAAGTCGTTTACTTTTTCATCAAAAAGTAAATTACTTTTTCAGGTAAGTCGTTAAAAATTTACTTTGAAAAGTAATTTCGATTTTACTTATTCGCGAAACTTACGTTGAAAAGTAATTTACTTTTTATATGTAAAAAAGTTCTTTTCTGAGATAATGTTATGTAAATGTAATGCTTCAAAAATGTAACACTTACTTTTAAAAGTAAAATAAAAGTACATCATAAAAATAAATTACTTACATGTGTAAAAGTAACTAATTAGCAAAGGCAACTTAGATAAAAGTAATTGAAAAAAAAAGATTTGCTATTAAAAATTAAAGTAATGTTTTTCTTTCAAATACTTATTTTACTTAGTAAGTAAGCAAAATGTAAATTACATTATTTACTTCTTCAAGAAACAAAGCCATTTTACAACATTTTTTTAAGGTAGGTAGTTTATTAAAAAGCATTAGTTGATGGGTACATCTGGGTTTTATTACTCGGAATTATTCAGATGTATGTGGGCCGTTTTTGCGGCAGGGCATTACAAATTATACAAGTAGGGGCTAATATAGTTATTAGGATGGATTTGTAAAAGTAAGACAGCGACGGTGAGGGCCCTTGAACTATAAGGAGCAAAAATATTTCTTCGTTTAGACCGAAAGTAGATTATTGGTCCTAATTAAACATTTAAATGTGATCAGGGGGAGGGCATAGTTTTAATTTTTTTGTTACTCTTTAAATTATTTTTAAAGTGTTCCCAAGAAGTCTGTACGGTACAGAACCCAGCGAAAAAGCATTTAACATCGTGCCTCTTTTCTAACTGATGTCGCAAAACTCACCCATTTCGTGGTAAACCTTTAATCTTTATGATCAAATATTTATTATCATTATTTATTTGGTATTGGGAAGGGGGGGGGAGAGATCTTTTCAATAACTTATGTTGCTTCAATGATGCTTCTATCACTCTATACAAGACTAAAACATTATGAATAGTTCTTTTAAAAAAGTTAGTTTTCATTTGGGTAAGAGCTGTTGTTAATAATTACTTTGCTGACTTGAAGATCTTAAAGAAGGACGATGATGATAGACGATTTAAAATAGTCTTTTAAAACAAATGAAAAATTAGGTTTTCACCCTTTTGAAACTAATTTAAACTTCAAAAAAAAAATAGACCTTTTGAAAACCCCAACAGCTGCTTATAGGCTACTAAATGAACTAAACTATAGTTTATTTTATCGTTTCTTTTTTAATACTTTTTTAAAAATGTCTTTTTGCGTTTCCGTTGTATTTTTATAACAACTTTAGAATCACTAGGTTTATTTTAATGTTTTTGATGTATATTGCAACGTTTCTTTTTTATAAATATTTTTTTAATTACTAGTCATTATTTTTCAGAGCCTTCAAACATTCAATCCCACTGAAAATTGATGCGCCTCTTGTGAAGCAAATTTTATAACAATCTAATTAGCGGAAAAATCTAGTAACTGTAATGGAAGCATTCTGTAAAATTATCAATAATGGCTACTGACATTATACCATACATGATACCATACCCCATCACTCTCTCTTTTGCATAACGTCCTCTGCAGACAAAACCGAAAGTAAGTGCGAAAGTGTGTTCATGCTTATTTCAAATAAATTTAAACAACTTTCTCATATTGGTAAGGATGTAAACTTTATTCATACATTCAAACTTAATCGTAAATGTTGAACTCTAAATGATAAGCGTTATAAAACCTGTCACAAAACTTTCACAAATATGAAAATAGAAATTGATTTTGTTGCCCTCACATTTGAGGAACAGGTGGCTAATATTTTAGTATTTTTTTGATTTTCTAATATACTTAAAACCCAAAACTGCGCTATACCTCAGGTTTAGTATCATCACGACGCATTCGTTTAGCCGTAAAAAAATTCATAAATGGCAATTATTCTTCAGTTTTTGCAAGCGTATAATAAACTTGTTAGCCATCAACCTTATTGGCTGACTGAGATTTTTCCGGGGCTATTTAAGCAAGTGGATTGTTTTATGCACCACAGCTTAAAACTGAATTTAAAAAAAAACAGTCCTCTTAAAATTTTCAGGTCTCCTAAAAGTGTGGGACCCGGGGCTATAACCACTCTAGCCACACCTTAATCCAGCAATATTACTAAAGACTCCGCCCTATTGACCTTTTCTACTATATTGCGACACCTATTCTCTCTTCGTTATGTCTTTCCACACATTCTGCATCTACCAGGGTATATGCGCTGTATTGCCGCTGCCAAATTTTGATGGAGACCAAAATCGTAATAAGAATGGTTTTAATCGGCAGCATTTTGATGCCTATAAACCAAATACTGATACATCAAAATTTACAAGGGAAAAAAAAGACAAAACCGCTCACAAAAAATGTCGCCAAAAACTAAATTTTTTTTTTTTTTTTTTCTTCAATTCACCTCCTCAAGGCCGAGAAGGCCACTACAGACGAGGAGGCTACTTAATTATGGTTATAACCCTCTCTCAACTCTATAACTCCGAAACACGAACCTTGACGAGCAAGGCCGCTGCGCGGAGAAATGAGTTGAGCGCGGTACTACCAGGGACGTGGTGGGGATCGAACTCGGAACCACTCGTTTATGAAGCGAGCGCTCTACCACTACACCACTACCGCATAAAAATGTTAGTTATTTAATGCAAGTTGTATTTTTTGTATTTCACTCAGTTGCACAATATCCTCTCTAATTTATTTTAGAATATAAGTAAATTTACTTACTTATAAAATATAAATTATTTTTAGTTTACTTTAAAAATTATATAAAATATAAGCTTATCTAATAGAATTTTTTCTTTATATAATTTTTTTTTTACAACAATTTTTTTTTATTTATATAATGAAAAATGACAATTTATATAATATTATTTTATAAGTAAATTTTATTTATATTTGGTCGCCTACATGTTTTTTTTTTTATAAGCATAACGTTTATAAGCATATGGAGGCTCAGATTTGGAAAAAAAATAAGCATATGTAAGCATATTCCTGAGCCTCAATAAACCATTTAAAAATTCAAATTTTTTTTATTTTATTATTTCATTTATTTCAAATTTTATTTATTTTATTATTTCATTGATAACATTTGTACATAGTATATATTTTTTATTATACTGTACTAAAGTCGACTTTTTATTTTTCTTATAACCATTGACCTTTAGTAACGCACGCATTTTTAGAAAGTATTGAAATAAGCATATTTTATTATAAATATGCTTAAGTTTAAGCATATTTTTGAGCCTCTTTTAACTTTTTGCTTAAGCATACCTGAGCCTGTTTCAAAAATTTCATATGCTTATAAAAAAAAAACATGTATTACTTTTATGTAACTCTTTTTCATATAAAAGTTTTTTTTACTATTATGGTAACATTATATATTTTTTATAAATTATTTTTATATGTAAATGTAAATTACATTTTGAGGAACTATTAAATTATGTAATGTAATTTGAAAAAGTAAATAATATTTATATGTAAAAGTAAATTGCTTTTTTATGAGAATTTTATTTGTAAAAATAAATTACTTTTTGATGTAATCTGTTTTTACATAAGTTACTTTTGAAAGTAAAAAAACTTACTTTATAAAGTAAAAATCGTTTCATAAAAATTAATTACTTTTTTGCAAATGTAAAGTCAATTTGAACGGTGACAATTATTTTCATAATAAACTTTTTCAAAAAAATTTACTTACTCATGTAAGTAAAAAAAAGTAAGTAAAAGTGCCATCCCTATGCAAAATGCTTTGTAAATTATTATAAATTATAAATATTACTTTATTAGATAAAGTAAGAAATTATTTCTATTGATTGTTTACATTAAACCCATTTTATTTAAATCATCAAATAATATTTTATGTAATTACATTTATATAATAATATAAATATGCATTTTTTTATAAATCTTTTCAAACTATCTATTTATATTTTAATAGCAAAAAACTTTTGCACGAAAACAAATGTTACATAACAACTTAAATTAAATAGTGTAATAAAAAATACTGCTTTTTATAAGCATTAAATTAACTATTACATTAAAATTTTTATAAAATAAATTTCAAAAGGGGTTTTAAAAGCTGAAACATTCATTTGAAATTTATAAAAAACCATTGGACAAAAAATAAAATTAATAGTAAAATATAATTTTTTTCTAAATATAACAATTATAATAACTAATTGCAATGTATTAATATAAATGATAAAAACCGAGCTATTTAATTCAAAAAAAAAAAGTAATGCTTTGATGTCTTTTAAAAAATTAATTAACTCTAAAATGAGGTATTTTATTAATGTAGCTGTGTGTTCAACTTCAATTTCCGGTTTGTATAAAAAATAAAAAATTCAAAAAATGAAGTTTATTACAATACCGAATTTATTAATAATTTTAGAACAACTAAAATAATTATAAAATAAATGCATTTAAATTATGTCAAGCAAAATGACTGATTGATGTTGTTTTTTACCAGACAATGTTCGATGTCTGGCGGCTATTTCGAGCCCTGCCCTATTTATACATTCAAAAAAGCAGTTGCGTTTTTTAGAAATTAATTTTAATAAAATTGTTTTGTAATGTGGTTTATGTTACTGCAAACGATATGTTACTTTAAAACAATAGGGACAATCACACTGAAAATTTTCTAGATTAAGCTATACAAGATGAAGTTCTCCAAGAGACTATGTAACAAGGGTGTAAATATACAAAGATTGAAGTAATGTGCTGCGTTGTTCACACTTTGCAGCTAGCTAATTGTGATGCTTTAAAAAAAACATACACTGCTCAACATGGTCTGGTATGTTATAAAGAAACTAAGAAATTCATAATACATTTCTAACAGCAGTTTATGTTGATGCTAGATGTATAATACTGTTAGAAGAGAATCAGATATATAAGCAAAACAAGGCTTAAAAGCAGAAAAAAACTTATAAAGGAGATGCTAAAAACAATAAGTTAAGCATAGCCAGCAGAAATTAGGAAAAAAGAAACTTAGGAAATAAGAAAAACAGCGAAATTAACTTTGTTCAGTTTTAGGTGAAATTGAAGATTTGAAAAAGATAAAAAAGAAAAGAAAAGAATTGTGAACAAAATAAGATTTTGAGGGAATTGAAGAATATCAAAAAGGTATACAAAATAGTCACTTGTATGGCTTTCTCACAAGCAAGTATAGAGAAGTTATTTTCTGCACGTTTATATCAAGTGTTCCTTACTTAAACTTAGGTTTATATCAAGTGTTCCTTATTTAAACTTAGGTTTATATCAAGTGTTCCTTACTTAAACTTAAGTTTATATCAAGTGTTCCTTACTTAAACTTAGGTTTATATCAAGTGTTCCTTACTTAAACTTAAGTTTATATCAAGTGTTCGTTACTTAAACTTAGGTTTATATCAAGTGTTCGTTACTTAAACTTAGGTTTATATCAAGTGTTTCTTACTTAAACTTGATATTTTGTAAAATATTTTATTTTTTTAATTTGTTTTTCGTGGAGCAGCTCCGGAGCTGGAGCTAAAAATTTTAATGGAGCCAGAACCTGGAGCCATCTTTTTTTCGACTCCAAAGCTCTGTTTGTATGAATATGCTTTATATTTTTTTACTTTCATGTTTTGAATTCAAATAATATGTTAAATGTTTTTTTTTTTTTAATGTTTTATGATTTTTTCTTTTTATTATACTTTTTTATTATTACATCATCCTAATAAGTTTTTACTCTTTTTATTAAAATAATTGTTATTAACAATCCAATAAAAAACTAAAAAATACTTACATATCTTGCGATGAATTTTGTTAAATAAGTATTCCATATATCATACACATGTGGCCATTTGAATAGCGCTATGCCTCGTTCATATGCCTGAAAAGTTCAATATTTTTTACAAAAAAAAAAATTGTATTTAAATTGTATCATAGAAATATAATTAAATTTTAATCAATTATAGAAAAAACTTTTTTTTAAATAAATTATTTCATATTAAAAAAAAAAAAAAAAATGAACATATTTAGCAATATATAAAATGTAACTACAATACTTTGAAGGACTCTTCAAAATAATTGTTTTCTTCCAATAAGCTAGCAAAATTAATGATAACTTGTGGTGTTGCAATCCGTAGATCGATTATGCGATTGTAAACAGCTTTTGTTGACTTAAAAAAATTTTTAATTAAAATATTTAAAGTTTTAAGTATTATTTTTATTATTATTATATATTATATAAAATCAGAATGTGTTTAAACTTTTGTTCAGAAAACTACTGAAACTGTTTATTCTGAAATGCAAAATCAATTAAACCAAACTTTAAATAAATCAGTTTACTAAGGATAAGAATTGTGCATTTTAGCCACATTCCAATAGAAAAAAAAAACATGATTTGGTAGTAAACAAAAAAAAAAAAAAAATTGGTGAACTTAATAGTGTTTTAAGTATTAGTTTCATTCCTTTTTTGACACTTTAAACAAATGCAAACAACAAGTATATATTGCTAATGACAAAAGTATAAATAGTTTTAAGTTTATCTAAGCTTTCTACGCAATTTACTAGTGTATTCTAAATATGTAATTAATAGCTAAATATTAAAACTACAACTATATTATTATGCGTAAAATATTGGTTCATGTATAACTATGTGTATTTAGATTAAATTATGCCTGTAATTAAAAAAAAAACATTTTTTTTATTTTTATAAACAATGGTCGTTTATCAATATTTAATATTTAATTATTGTATAAAAAATATTTACATTGACAGACAAGTTCTAACATATGTTATAATTCTTTAGTTCTAACATAACAATTTCACAAGTAATTTTTATCATTTAGTTTTTATTAGATTCAATATTAAACCTTTACACATTATCAGACTTCTGTCAGATTATAATTCTCAATTACTTTATAATAATTTATTTACTCTCAATACTTTAAGCAAAGCTAGTGTTTATTTCAAGAGGCTGCTCATAACTATGCTGCATTCATTACAAGTTATGTTATTTAAACATACAAAAATAATGATGTATTTATAAATGTGGCTTATTTATAAACAACTGTTTTACTATCAGACAACACATTTCTAAACTATTTTTAAAGCCATTTTTTGTTACTAGGAAGTCTATGGCATCAAGTCAAATTTGTCTGAAATAATCTCCTGTAGATGACAAAAACAACCATAAGTTGGTACAATTAGTTATTAAAAAATTACTATCTTATTGATGAAACTATTTTCTTATCTTTATGAATAATGGTTTCTAGCCACATTCTAATAGCAAAAAAAGCAGGATACGAGATGCCACTATAACTTAAACATTATTAACACTGTTGTTTAAGACATGTACATTATTTGTTGACCATTAAAATTCTTTTTTTTTTTACTACATTCACATCCGTTAGGCTGAGGGGGATGTGAATGTAGTAAAAAAAAAAAGAATTTTAATGTCTTAAACAAAAGTGTTAACAATAAAGTCAAGGAGGCTAGATTTTTTTTAACCATTGTGACAACCCTCTTTCAACCCTAGCTGAAAAACACAAACCTTGAGAAACAAATTGCTGAATAAGTTTCAGTTGTTACTGAGAAGCCAGAATGATTATTAGATTATATTACTGGAACTTGCTGTTTCTAATCATTCACTTAAAATTAAGGTAAAGCTTTTCGTACCTACCATGACTCGATTTGTCTTGCAATTTAAAACTTTTATTTAATTTTTATTTTTACCTTTTTCAAGTATTTTTACATTTACTTGGAAAATTTCACATAAAAAAAACCAATACAATTATCATAAAGAAAAATTATTACTAAAATTAAAGCATAATACCTGAAAGGTTCCCAAACTTTCTTCCATGTCAGCATACATGCACCAAATTTTAATTGATTTATGTACACGATTTTGAACAGATTCTTTTGTATCATAAAAATTAGTGCCTATTTTCTTTCGGGGAACGGAAGTTGCTCTACGAAGTACCTTTAAAGCTTCATCACTGTTACTAAAAAAATATTTTTAACATATTCAGATTAAAAAAACTTTATCTTTTTAAAAAAAAATTTCAAGCACTAAACATCTAAGAACTTGGCTCCATAAAACAGCAAAAACACTTTTTTAAAATAAAACCTACATACATACACACATTCATACATACATATATACATGCATACATATACATAGATACAAATATATGTATACATACATACATAAACACATGCATACATATACAAATATATGTATGCATACATACATAATAACATACATACATACACAAATAATAAATATATATATATATACAAACATACATACAAACATACATAGGGGAGACCGGGGCACATTGGCCCATAGGGTAGGTTGGCCCATTTGAGTTTATTCAAAGGCTAGATGCTTTAACAAGCTGGGAATCTAAACAAAAAGATTATTACCCGTTAATGAACTTTTTTTGAATGAATTGAATTTTTTTTAATGAATCGAATTTGCAATACATTTAGAAACAAAAACGTTTCTGTGAAAAATTTGGAAAAATAATAAATAATGTGATATGATTGGTAGAAAGAATGTTGACTTCAAAACATCTCAATGCTTTAAGCAAAATAATTTTTTTTTCAATTAAAATCAAAAAAAAAAAAAGTTTTAGAAGTTATATTAAAAGTATTAAAACAATCATAAAATGGATGCAGGAAAAAAACAACAGAAAATTGTTTCTTTTAAAAGGAAAGTTTACGAAAGAAAATTACTATTACAAACAGCTGTTAAGTGGAAAGATTCTACGCTTGCAAAATATAATGCTAACGATTGGCTTGAAATAGAGAGCGTTGATGGATTAGTTACTGCGCTAAAATGCAAAGTATGCCAAGAATATGCTTCTTAAATTTAGATTTTAAAAGGTTACATGCCAGAATGAAGTGGTGGAAAAGGATGCAGCTGATTGCAACACAGTTCCGCCATCATACATGCAGAAGGAATGTCTCACCAAAAAGCTTTTGAAATGTTAATGAAAACAAGAGATATGAGTTTGTGCGATAGAATTCAAAAACAAAACGAACTGCAGCAGGAAATGCGGCAAACAGACATTTTATCTGGTATTCAAACCATGCATAGTAAGGATCGTGATTTGACTAAAAAGAAATTTGAGATTGCTTACTTTATAGCAAAAGAAGAACTGCCGCTTAGTCTATATCCAAAATTAATTCAGTTACAAGAGAAACATGATGTAGTCTTTGGTCAAGCTTACAAGAACGCAAATACTTGCGGAACATTCATTGATTACATTGCTCTGAGTTTGGAGAAAGATCTTAAAAAAAAACTGAATAATCGAAACTTTTTCACTATTCTAATTGATGGTTCTAACAACGTTTCAATTATGGAAAAAGAGGCCATATTTGTAGTCACCTTTAATCCAATCCCAACTGGAAAATCAGAAGTATGTGTTGAATGTGACTTTCTTTCACTTTCAGATGTTGAATATGGAACATCAGACGGAGTTTTTAACACAATACAAGAATCGTTTGAAAATATAAAAATTGAAAATTGCAATAACAAATTAGTTGGTTTTGGTGCAGATGGTGCATCTGTAAATAGGGGAGGCAAATCAGGTGTTAAAATGTTGCTTCCACAGATTACGTTTGATTGATGTGTAGCACATCATCTTGAGTTATCATTAAAAGATAAATTAGGAAAGACTGAATCATTTAATGACGTTGATTGTATTATTTTAAGAATGCATTACATTTACAAAAAATCACCTAAAAAGTTAAGGCAGCTCGGTGAACTTGTATCTATTTTAGAAGATGATGAAAATGACATTGATGGTTACCAACTTAAGAAAGCCTCCGGTATTATTTTGCTTGATGTATTTATGTTATATTTTTTTATCATTTTAGCTATGCGTGATGGATTTGCAAATATTTTTAATTTTTTTTACTATAAAGTGAAATATAAATTGCAAAAGTCTCATTTTTTAGGTACACGATGGATTGCACATAAAATTCGAGCTTTAGAGATGATATTAGACAAATACGGTGTTTATTTAACACATCTGGAAAATATGACACGAGATCGCGCTTTTACAAATGCTGAACGAGCTAAGTTTAAAGGATACCACGCGAAGTGGGTCCATGCAAGAATACTGCTTTACATTGAATTGTTTATAGAAATTTTAGCACCAGCAAAAATGTTGTCAAAATCTTTTCAAAGTGATGAGATTGATGTATTAGCTTCGTCAGGGTTTATTCAACAAGCTAAAAACCAATTAAATCATATTCAAAAGAAAAAATTTATTGATTTGCCAACAGTAAAACGTTTCCTTTCCAAAGTGACTGAAAAGACTGGAAAGTTTTATTTCCAGGGTGTCGCACTTAACAATTTTGTAAATGCTAAACGCTCTATTCTTATTGAGTTAGTTACGAATTCAATTATAGAATGTTTAGAAACATGTGATAATATTTCCCCATATGTATAGTACAAAAATTTTAAATGCAGAAGGCTGGCTTCAAAGTATTGAAAATGATACATTCTTGGATGAAGGAATAGAAAAAGTTTATGACTTTTACAAAATGCCGTTGCAACATGCTGGTTTCACATGAAGTGTAAATGATGTTTTGGACGTTTGGCATAGCTTAGTAAATTACACTGTAAAGTACTTAGTACCACATAATACCGGTTACCGCAAGATATGGCACCAAATATTCTCCAGCTCGATGAAAAATGAATGAGTTCCGGTTCTACTTCTTGTGGAACTATTATTTACTTTGCCTGTATCTAATGCAAAAGATGAACCCGTTTTTTCAATAATGAATAGAGTGACACGCAACTCTCTAAAAGAAAAACGTTTGCAAAATAACGAATAGTTCAAAACCTTTTTCAGTATTTTGTTTGTTTTTTAAATAAATATTCTTGCGTTAAAGTTTTGATCAACAAATGTTTTTCTAAAGGTTTTCTTAAATATTTCTTGTACCATTTTTGTAAAAAAAATTTCATTTTAGTAACTAAAACCGTAATAGTTCGATCACTTTCATTAAATAGAATGCAAGAGAAAAGAAACATTCTTGCAAATAAACTTTGAATGATTGAGCTTGATACATTGATCTAATTTGAATGTTTTTGTCAATTTTAAATGGTTTTACTAAACAATCATTTACAATGTTGCAAACAGTCGATCAGTTTAAGTTTTAACTATATGAATCTAAAAAATATATTTTATATTATATATATAATAAAGATAATTATATAATAAATATAATAAAGATATTCTGAAATAATAAATATAAAAAAATATTCATAAATGGACGAGATATTCTTACAAAAATCTTTTAGTTACATTTTAATGACAATATGTTAAAATATATCTTATGGCGATTAGAAAATAAAGTTTTTTTTAATGTTTTGAATGAATGACTTTGCATAATCGAATTACGAATCAAAAGTTGGCTTAATCAACTTAATTTCTTATTTGTTAATTTTTATGATAAGTTAGGATAAACTGGAAAACTTATCGTACATTTTTTTAAAAAGACGTTAATATGGTTTTATAACAATTGTTAATATGGTTTTAACAAAACACTTAAAGAGATCCCTAAGTGCTCCTAACATATGATCTCATATGAAAGAGCATAAAAAAAAAATATGTAAGTTTTTTTTCTTTTTCACTAAATTGTAATAATAAATGCATGCTAACAAAAAGCAATTGCCGAAATCACTGAAAAACAACTCCATTTTGATTTTATTTTTTCACCATTGAAACTCGATTGTTAGTCGTTAAAAATCACGTTAGTACGTCACAACAACTTTAGAATATCTACTTCGATTTTCAAGTAAAAAAAAGTCGTGATTAAATATTTAAGTTTTAATCAAGTTTTTTTAATTAGTTTTGCAAAAACAGTATAATAGCATTCGGTTGAAAGAGGTCGTTAAAAAAAAGTTATTAAGTAATAGTTTTAAATAGTTTAGAACTTATAAAAAAGTCTCACAGGGCTCGTATAAAGTGTATCGCGATCACGATTGCTACACACACTTTTGTGATTAGTTTTTTCTTAAATCTTTTTGCAACATTTTTTTTTGGTTGATTTTTTTTTTTTTTTGAGCTTAGCATTTTTTTAGCAATTCTTTTCAAATTCAATTCAAAAGTAATGTTTTTATCATAAAGAACGTCACACAAAATTTATTATTCTGAATAGATGATTTGCTCTTTCGCGCAGAGATTTTCTTTCAACGTAAAACATTTTTGAATTTAAATTACTTTAAATCTCTGCATGGAAAATTTTTACAAGGTGGTTAAAAGCGAAAAGTTGGTTTTTATCTTTGTTTATCAAAACTTCATGTTTAAAATAAGGCTTACAAACGTTAGAGCAAAAAAATTACTGACTTTTATTTGTATTTTTATACTGTTTGAAAAAAAAACAACAATAAAAAGAATTAATTGTTATTATTATCAATTCTAATAATTATTAATTAATATATTATTAGTTAATTCTTTTTTATTAGTTTTTTTTTCAAACAGTATAAAAATGCTAATAAAAACCAACAATTGTTTTACTTTAACGTTTTTAAGCCTTATTTTAAACATGAAGTATAATTCGATTTATTAAACCAAATTTTTTTGTTTCATCTTTTATTGGAAAACTTGAAATAGAAAAATTTGATAAAAACAACCATTTAAATAAAAAACTTAATTATATTTAAACTTTTATTAGTCCTTTATTCAAGAAACAATAAATTATAAAAATCTAATTTTTTATTAAGTTTTGGACGATGTTTTTTGATTTATTGGCGATAATTTTTTCCCCCCATTACCGCACATTGGCGCGAGCTATAAGAGAGAGAGAGAGAGAGAGAGAGGGGGGGGGGAAGAGAGCAAAAAAATTTTTTTTTTCGTGATTAGATTTTTTTGCATTAATTCGAGCCGTCTTAGTTTAATTTCTAATAAAATGTCTATTCAACCTTATCAATTTGAACCAAAAAAATATAGCAAAATTAACATAAATGTTAATTTAACTAAAACATTTTACAATAATTATTTTTTTTATCAAGCAAAAATGAGAGTAACCGTCACTTTTGAAACCATAAAAATGACTGAAATAAATTTATTTTTCTACTAAGGAAATATTTTAAATAAACTTTCATGTGTCTAAATCAATATTCATTTGTTAAAAACTGACTAAAAAGAGTTTAAAATTTGACTTCTATTCATTTTTGGCCGTGGAATTGCCCTTTTGTGAAAATATATTTGTATATTAAAAAAAATTTTAATATACAAATATATTTTCACAAAATGCTACAAAACGTATTCTTGTAAGTAATTATGTGTTAGTTGAAAAAAAACGACTTTACTTTTAAATTTAATTACCAACTAATAAGTTTGCAATAATGACATTTTGTCTACTTTGTTTATTTTGACATACAAAGGTTAGTTTTTTGAGGCAATAGAGTCAATAAACTTTGGACAAGACGCATTTTTTTTAATCGAAGAAAAGCATTTTTTTGAAAATTAAATTTGTTAGTGTGTGTTCATTATTACGTTTTAGAAAAAATAATATACATCAAACATTTTTTTTTTTAATGCACTTTTATATGAGATCATATCTTTATAGCACTTAGGGATCCCTTTAAAAATCGTAATTATCGTAAATATGGTTTTATAACAAATCAATTACAAAATTTACTCAAAAGGCTCGTTCTTATTTATAATGTGACACTTTAAAACAAGGCCTGGTATAAGTTTTTATTTAATTTTTTTATAGTTTCAGAATTTTAAACTAAATGTGAATTCTGCAATATAAGCAGTGCTATCAAGCACAAACATAAAACGTGTGACGCAAAAATTGCTACACATAAAAATTTGATACAAAGTAACAAAAAATTTGATCATTCGGAAAATTATTTGATTGTCTACTTTTCAATTCTTATCATTTCAGCCAATCAGTGTTGATCGGCAACCTCTAAATAATTATTTTCGAGTGCTAAATAAAATCTCACAAATATATATATATATATATATATATATATATATATATATATATATATTTATATATATATATATATATATATACATATATATATATATATATATATATATATATATATATATATATATATGTATATATATATATATATATATATATATATATATATATATATATATATATATATATATATATATATATATATATATCAGTGTTTCACAGAAAGACTTGCGATCGCACGCAATTATATGACCACACAAAAAATACTTTGCTTTGATGATTTGACCTTGCCTATTGACATGTTTTCAAAATTCAAAAATGCATTAAAAAAACTTACTTAAATATATCTAAAAAAAAAGTTTATTTAAATCATGTTTTTAATTACATTCAGAATAATTTTTTACCTTTAATAATGTTTAGAACATTATTAAACACTAATAAACAAAAAACAATTTACTTTTAATGATTGTTTGAAATATAATTAAACTTGATTTAAATCATAGTGTTTTTTTTATCAATTTAAACATAAGTTTTCATGTAAATGTAAACAAGTAAATAATTACGCACTAAAAAACCATTTCATTCTTTGTTTTAACATTTGAATTTTTTTTTTTTAATTTGTAACAAAAGAATAACATTCATCATAAAAAAATGCATAGTTAAATAAATAAAAAAACAGCAATTTACTAATACTTATAAAAATTCATTAGAAGTATTTTGTTGCTTCAAAATTAATCGTAACGGCTTTCTAAAACATTTGTCTTTTTTTTTTAAATGTATTAAATTATTTTTTTTTATTAAAATTTGTTAAAGAGACTTTCGTTGTCGAAGAAAGTCACGCTTATAAAAACAAAATAATTTTTATTTTTTAATAACGTTTATCAAAAAAAATGCATACTTAAATAATTTATATCATATAATTTTAAAAAATTATACACAACTGTCAACTATACTTTTAAGAAAAATCATTATCAGTAAATTGCTACTTTATTTAAAATCGTTTCGCTAATATAAAAACGTTTGTTAAGAAGTTTTTATGTAATTTATTCCATCTAAGGTATAATTCAGAATATTTTTCTTTCAGCACGTTTTTTAAATGTTTTTTGAAATCGTCAAAGCAAATGTGATTTCTCGGTCAAATCGTCAAAGCAAATGTGATTTCCCTGGTATAATGACATGTGATCGCACATCTTCCTGAGAAAGACTGTGTATATATATATATATATATATATATATATATATATATATATATATATATATATATATATATATATATATATATATATATATATACACACATTAGTAATTAACAACTATACTTACTTATTTCGTATTTCCATTTCTGCATATTCACACCAAACATTTGCTAAGTCTTCGACATGTCTATATTTTACCTTAAGCGATTTCTCAAACACTATTCTGGTTTCTTTAATCTGCCCATGTTTTTCATAAAACTTAGCAAACTCTACCCACAATGTATGAGGTTTTCCAGTAGCAATCATTGGATCAACAGTTTGGACAGCCTCAGAGTAAGTATTTATGATTTCATGAGGCTTATCTTCATATAGTTGAACACGTTTATGCCATTCATGAACATTATGTGGGTTTTGTCGAAGTAAAACACTAAATAAATAATAAAAATGTATAATTTTATACCAACATCATATGTATTTTTTACTTAACAAAATCACTTGAATTAAAAAATTAACATAAAATAATTTTTTTTTATTTACAATAACAATATTTACCTATTTAAAAGAAGAGGTCTTCTGTCCATTAATAATTCAAACCTAGCAAGTCTCAACTCCAGATCTACTTCACCATCTTCATCAAGACCTATTTCTTCTGATTCCTGCATTTTTGCACTTATCATACTTTCTTCAAATTGAGCATATGCATCGAACACCTTTTCAAAACAATTTAAAAACATTTTAATTTAATTTTTTTACTTATTATAAAAAATTTTATCAAAACTTGACATTTGAAAAAATTGTATTTTGTATCAAGTGAATCGTTGTTTGTTTTTTTAAACTTATGTCTTAAAAAGAGATTACTTAATAAAAAAGTATAAATAAAGATTTTATAAAAAAGTGGATTTTAAACTCATTAAAATTCACAATATTTTTAATTGTTTCTTAATTTCTCTTTTTCTTCCTAATTACATATAACTTTATAAATTATGAATGCATTATTCACTCAAAAATAAAATGTGATATAAAAACCCTTTAGTTTTTCTCAAAAATTCATTTGTCAATATATTCACCTTACCAAACATTAAAATCATTAATCTTTCTGGGTAGACATTAAAATCAAAAATAAAATAAATAAAAATAAAATAAATAAATAAAAATCTAAAGAAATATACCTCTCCAAAATCTCTGACTGTCATTACTGTTTGAATAGCTTCTTCATAAACATCTCTTGCTCTTTCAAAATGACTTCCTCGAGTGTAATAATCAGCAAGTGAACACCATAGTTGTCCAAGGCCATCAGTAAAACGTCGCAACGCACCATTTATAATATCTGCAACCTTTAAACTCTTGACCTACAGAAACCAGTATTAAATAAAACATTAATTTATTTATAAATACTTTACTATTGTAAAAATATTTTATTATTTTTATTACTTAAATATCTAAATCTACTAAAATACAAAATTAAAGTTAAAGATTTAAATATCAATCATAGTAACATAACAATAATAAAAATAATAATAACAACAATAATAATAACAACAGCAACAATAGTAAAAACAAAAATTATAATAATAGTAACCACAGTAACATAAAAGTAAACTTCCAGTAACAACTACCAGTGATGATTACTATAATTGAATTGTAATAAAAAATAAAAAAAAGATAGAGAAATTAACTTTATGTTTTTGCACTTTATTTTACAGCAAGTTAAATTTAAACTTAACTTCCAAAAAAAGAAATTTGTAAATGCTGTTAGATTCTTTCAATATAAGACCAAATTCTTTTGATCAATGTGTAAGATTAATTTAGTTTTTAATTCAATAATACAGATACTGATAGTGTGACTTACCAAGAGACTGCAGTGTGTGACTTACTGAGACACTGCAGAGTGTGACTTACTGAGATACTGTAGTGTGTGACTTACTGAGACACTGTAGTGTGTGACTTACTGAGACACTATAGTGTATCACATACTGAGAGTGTGAAATACTGAGAACCAAATCAACACTAGAAAAATTTAAAAAACATATTTACCTCTTCAGGATTTTTTGAAATAAGTTCACAGAGTTCATGCCACAACTATAAAAAGTTTATAAAACATTGATTCTAATAAATAAAATTTATAATTAAGAATTTATATTAAATTTGTTAAAATTTTGACCCCAAGTGCCAAAACTTTTTTGACTTTTTAAATTAATCTTTGATGTCAATAAAAATTAATCTTTGATGTCAATAAAAAAATTATTTTTAAAGAATTTCAATTATAACTTTCTAAGAAAACATAAAAAAAAAATATCAATAGTGAAATTGAACTTTTAAAATAATATTATAACTAATATAACTTTTTTAGATAATAAAAGATTTTAAAATAACAGTTTGTTGGAATAAAAAAAAATTAAATAGAAAATAATTTGAGTCTTGAAAAGATTATATGCTGTCATTAAATGCTGTCATTAAATGTTGTCATTATTTAATGAAAACATTTAATGACATTAAATTCACCTAATAAACATTGTCATTTATGAACATAAATTATTAATAAACAAAAAATTTTAATAAGAAATCATCTTAGCAAAACGTTGTACTAATAAAATCTATAAATTTTATTTGTACTTTTTAAAAATAACAAACTTAATTTGTTTTGGTTATGTAAAAATAAAAAAAATAAAAAACTTTGATGAATTTTTCTTAAGAATCACAAAGAAAATTAGCTGAAAATTTTCACTCTAGTCAACCGTATGTTTCAATGGTTGTAAATCATAGGGACTTTATATTTAACTATTTCTTCAAAAATGATTGCATAAAATTCAGTGTTCTTGTTAAAGCAAATAATTAGAAAAAGTCTAATTGCTTTGGCTTAACTTTCAAACAGTGTTGTTTATATATAGAACGCAATATTTTAACAAATTTGCTATAAATACTTGTAAATCTATGGATTAATTGTATATATAAAAAAACAGATAGAAGTTTTGTTCAGATGATAGAAGCAAGATGGTAGAAGCAAGAAGAAAATGTAGTTTCTATTATATGAATTGTGATTGGATTTTGGATGATGAATCTTATTTTACTTTTTCACTTTTAACTATGGAAATGGATTTTATTATGCTGATGATAAAACAAATGCTCCTCCATTAATAAAATATGCAAAAAACTCCTAAGTTTGAATCTAAAGTACAAGTTTGGATATGATTTAAGAATATAAAGAAGAATACTCCGAAGCTAGATTTTCAAAAAAACCATTATTAAAAAAGTACAATTCTGATCACATTTACATACTTTGGCTAAATTTAGCTAGTGCACATTATCCAAAAACAGCTTTTTGAGTTAAAAATGTTCCAGTAGTACCTAAGGAAAAAACCCAGCATATCTGCTAGAGTATAGGCCTATTGAAGACTTCTGGTCTCAATTGAAAGAGATAATGTACAACAATAACTGGTGTGCTTCAGATACTAATCAACTCATAAGGAGAATAAAAAAATGTTTAACTAAACTTGATATAGAATGCATACAAGAGCCTGTTAGAAGGGTGGTCTGGATAATATTGTGTACGTCGAAAAGGAAAAAAACAATTGAGTAAAAAAATTAAACAAGCATTGCATTAAATAAACTTTAAAACCTTTAAAAAAATGTTTTTATTTTTTATCGAGTCGCACAAATATTTTAAACTTATTCAGGAGAATTACTTATCATAAACTTAAAATTAAAAAAACAGTTTGTTTAATTGTTAATTACAGTTGCTTCGTTTAGTTACAATTTTCATTTTATCGAAAAAACCAGTTGCATCATAGAAATGCTTAATGTAGTGTGAACTTATTTTTATAACCACTAAATACTAACTGAAAATAGGAAAACTCAAACTAATCGTGGAAACTAAATCAATAAAAATTTATCAGCACACTTCATTATTCAAATATTATTAAAACTAGCTACACAGATTTGTGAGCCTAATATTAGACTTGCAATCAAAAAACATTATGGCCAAAAATAAAAAAAATAAAAAATAAATCTGAAATGTTCTTTGATAATATCTTGATAAATAATTCTTTTTGGGAAGTGTAAAAATTTAAAACTTCTTTTCTAACGTTTATTCATAAAATAAATACTACTTGCCATGGCACTCAGTGATCCTTTCAATAAACATAGAAATAATAAAAAAAATTACCTGGTGATTTGATTTTCCTTTCTTAGAAACAAAATTATCCTAAAAAAATTTTTTTTTTTTCATATATTTTGTCAATAGGCTTTTTTGTAATTAAGTCGCAATTATGAATCACATGGTATAATGTTTTTTCGGGAGGGCAAAGTTGTAAACAAAACATTTTGAGGAAGCTTATTTGATTTTTATTGTTTATTTAAATTAAATAGTTTATTTGAAAATAAGATGTGTTTTAACATGCCTCTTAAAAGTTATAAAGATTCTTTAAATTTACCTGTCAAGCAGCTTGTTAGTTTATTTGCTGTTCGTGGGTTAACTACAACTGGATGTAAAGTCGAGCTTGTTGCTGAGCATTTACTGCAATGGAATTAAATAAAGATGTTATTGAGACAGCAGAAGAACAGGAGAAAAAACTTAAACAATCATATACAGAAAAACTTAAAGCTTTAGATTTAAGTGACTCAAACTCTGTACCTACGGAAAACAGAAAAGTAGCTGAGTACCAAGCCTTCCTAGGAAAGGTGTGCGGTTTTTCGTTTCGTATGACCACACGCGATTATAATATTTTAGAAAACGTGAACACGGCTGTTTGCAAGTTTTATAATAATGCTGAAAAAGTTTCAAAAACAAAAAAACAAAACTAACAAAATAAAAAGAGATTGAAATAGAAAAAAATAAAAACAAATTAATAATTTAAATAATTTGTGTACTGTTTTTATTATTGTTTCTTTAGAGTTGCATTCAGCAACAAAATTAGATAAGGCAAAGCAAAAAAAAAAACAGTTTGAAGTCTACAATAAAAAGAATGAAATTCCTATTCTTAATTTTTTTTTTAAGAGGATAGCAAAAATACAAATTGCAATGTGTTTGTAAAATTTATTTGTATAATTTTAATGTAACAACAAGGGTTGAATTAAGCGAATGCAAAACGCATAATCTAGAAAAATATCTAGTATTTAAAATTTTAGTTTATACAAAACTGTGTTCCTTGTTTTTAAGAGGAGAATCAACATAAATTTGTTAGCGAAAAAATAAAACAATAAACTTACGATTACAAAAGTAATAACACTCTAGTCACTAACTGCATTACAAAAGTAATAACACTATAATAGTGTTAATACTTTTATAACGCACTTATAACTTTTAAAATTCATTCTTTGTTCAAGCAACATTAGTATTCCCAAATTTTAATTGAATTAGATAAATATCTAGAAGAATAAAGTGGATGTTCAAATAATATTAAAACTAAAGTAACTTATAAGAACGTGACAAACAACTTTATGAAAACGTATTGTATTAAAAGTTTAGCATTTTGAAAAACGTTACTAATGGACCGTAAAAACGCGCGTTAATTTTAAAATCAACCAATAAAATTTTTTTATTTTAAGTACTTTTTTATAACGTTGTTTAAGTGATATGTGAAAGTTCCTGAAATTTTTAATAATATTTGAATATCCGCTTTATTTTTTCTAGATGCTTTTCTAATTTAATAAATGTTTGCAATTAATAATGTTGTTTGAACAAAGAATGGACTTTAAAAGTAATAAGTGCTTTATAAATGTAATAACACTATTATAATTTTATTACTTTTATAATCCAGTTAGTGACTAAAGTGTTATTACTTTTGTAGTTGTAAGTTTATTGTTTTTTGTTTTTTTTTGTAATTTTCTCGTTAGCAAACTTTTAATATTTAATATTTTAATTTGCTCCTTATAAACAAAGTACACACCTTTGCATGAACTAAAATTTTAAAGACCTAATATTTTACCAGAGTTTGCGAACGCGATCGTATAATTTAACTTATGATATAAACTTGTTATATTATAATTTTACAAATATATTTTACAAACAGATGACGATACATATTTTCTCTTTCCTCTTTAAAAGAAAAAAGACATAAAATATGGGAAAGTCATCTTTTTTAACGCCTAAAACCTTTTTTTTTTTTTTTTTTTTTTGCTTTGACTTAATGAATTTTGTTGCTGAAAATAATAACCACTAAGTAAAAACAATACACAAAATATTTAAACTATTATTATTGTTTTCTATTTAAGTTTACTTCAATTTCTTATGTAGTTATTAAATTTAAAACAATTTTTTAGTAACGCATATAATAACTAGCGCAAACGGCTGTGATCATGTTCTCTAACTTGAAAAACGTTTTCGTGGTCATACGAGAAAAAAAACCGCACGCCTTTCCTGGGAAGCCTTGCTGAGTAAATAGAAAAGACTTAGTAGCTGAGTGGCCTAGTATAACTATGGGAAACATTTTTTTGTATATCTTGAAGAAAAAAAAAACTTATATTCGGAATATATTGGCAAATACAAGGACCAAAAAGCATTTTCATTTTTTAATAGTGGTTTTGTAGGCGCTTTTATGCACTTTAGTTTTAAAAAATATATTTTGTTTGTATAAGTTTTTGGTTTGCACAAAAATCAAGGAAAAAAGAAAACTTTGGGTTGCCTTCAGTAAGTGTGGCATACTTTCTGCTTAGTGTTCCTGCATGGCTGGAGCTTTCAAAGTTTGCAACCATATCATTGCCACCTTTTATAGAATGGAGTATGCTAACAACAAAGATTGGTGTAATTCAACATGTACTGAACAAGCATGTGTGGGGAATAAATCCTCTAAAAAAGATATCAAACCATGTTTAATAACTGACCTAGTTGTTAGAAAAGAATAGCAAATAATGAAACAAATGGTTTAAATAATAAGAAAAAAACACGAATGAAAGCATTGAAAGAAATTGGTCCAAGAATTGAAAGCCATCGTGAATTTAATGAACATTCATCTAAAACTTTTTTAAACACTTATATATCCGAGCCTTCTGCTATAATATTCAAATCAAAAGTTAAAACATTTAATAGAAACATTGAAAGTATTCCTGATCTTGAGGAGTTATCTTTTAAAATACTCACTGACCATCCTAATGCTGATAAAACAACTTTATACAAAATGTTTTTTCAAAAAATGGTATCGGCAGATAAAACAATTTAACATATAGAATATAACACAAGAGATCAAGCCATCTATCAAATGGGGAATGGAACACAAGCAAAATGCTATAAAAAAAATTCATTGTAGAGGATGTATCAAAATACATTAATTTGAAAGTTGAAAAATGTGGTCTCTTTATTTTTTATGAAACACTGTATATGGCTTGTTCAACAGACAGATTTATACTATGCAAATGCCATGGAAGAGTGTGTTTGGAAGTGAAATGTCCTTTTGTAATTTTTAATAAAACAATTAATGGGGGAGCTAGTGATTGTAACTTTTTTTAAATAATAAATGATAAATAGTATTAAATAAAAGTCAAAAATATTACACTCAAATCAATTCCCAAAACATAAATTGCAAGTCAGCATATTTTATTGTTTGGACACTTAAGGACTTATATGTTGCTTTAGTCAAATTTGATCAAGAGCTCTGGGATAAGGTAATAAAAAAATTTAGATTTTTTTCAAAAAATATGTTTCTCCAGCATTATTACTATTAGAACCTATAACATTCTCTGGAAAATGTGACAAGTTAATACTTGAATGTTGCGCTTAGTTCCACTGTTCTTGACAAAATTTAAAAAAAGATGATTGTAAAAAATCTTTTTTTTTTATTAAAAAAAGATGATTAGCAGATCAAGACTTGATTTGTTACATGTGCTCCATGTCTACTTTGTGTTTTAAACTTCAAGAGTATGTCTTTATATGAAATCAACCAATGAATTTTTTCTTATCAGTCATTACATTTAATTCCTTTATCTAAAACATATATTAGATTAATATAATCATTTTTTTAATTTTTTTCTTTTTTTTTTGAAAAAAAAAAGTTGTATTTCTTGACATTTTTTTTCTGTATTTTTAAAAGATTTTACAATCAAAAAACTGGGTTGAATTTTTAATTTAAAGTAAATAGACATATTTTTAAAAAATCAACAAATTTCAAAATTTCTTATAAACATTTAATTTAAATTTCTTATAAACATCGAGGAAAAATTTAAATTTCTTATAAACATTGAGGAATATTTTATTGTTTTATAAAAAATGTTATATTATAAAAGAAAATATTAAGCAAACAAATTTTTTTTTATTAAAGACTATTTAGAAACTAGTGGTTTTCTCAATTTTGATATAGCAGCACATACACACAGTATATTATTCATGATAGGTAGATATAATAATGGCTGTATTATTTTATAAAAATATGGAAGTGTTTAATACATTTTATTGCCTGCTCTTCATAAATGCGTGCATAAGCAATGTTTGATGTTTCTTGAACTTTTTCTTTTAAAAGTTCAAGAAACATCAAGTTTCTTACTTAAAGATTTACAGAGACGATTTTATTTAAATAATAAATCTAAACTTCTCTTATATTTATATTTAAATTGTATTATTACTTCTTTTGCATACCAGTAAATATAATATATTGCATACCAATAAAATTAATTTGAGTAAATGCATATAACTTTTTAAATTTTATACCTAGTTCGTTTTATTATTTACTTGTTTGTTTTTATGTTTATAAAATATTTGTTTACATTTTTGCCCTCCCAAGAATAAAATTGTGTCACGTGGTTCATAATAGCTGCTTAATTCCGAAATCATCTATGACTAGCTTTCAGAGGTTTATTTATTATGAAATTAAAGTAAAATATATTTCTTTTATATTATTGGTAGCTGGTGGTCCAAGGAGGCTCACACATATATGTTCACACATATATCCATATTTTCATTCAATTTTTATTTATTTATTAATACTTATAGATTGAAATGATTACCTGGTTAATAATAAAAGCTAGTTTGGACGCAGCTTCATCCAACCATCCAATTTCCATTAAATAATCAATATAAGCTTCAGTATTTTCAGGTTCGACCTGTATAGAATAAATATTGTAATACTATTAATATAAAAAATAACATTCATAACATTCTTTTATGTGATTTTGTTTAGCACCACTTCACTCTATCACCTTTCTCTTTGTTCTATATTGCTCTCCTTCATCTCAAGATGAAGGAGAGCGATATAGAACTGCTTTGTGACTGACTTTTTTTTTACAAATAACTTACAGTTAATTTAAACTAAAAATATTTGAACTTTGGTGCCTAAAAACGAGAAAATGTAAAGATATATCTAAAGAAAAGGTTTTAAAAACATCTGCTATATTAAAACATTTAAGCCACTCTCAGAGAAAAATTGCTGACTTAGTTAATGTTTCTATGATGACAGTTAGCAGAATCAAAGGTAAACTTGATAAAAAAATTTCCATACAAAGTACCAGACATGGAAAATGTGGGAGACGTATCACTACACCAAGAGATAAACAGGCAATTTGTAACATTTCACTCTTTTTGATGTTATTTCTGATCAAATAGTCAATGACTCTGCAGGATTTTTGCAATTTCATAACACAGATATTCAACTTTCCAACTTGTTTTCTAGACAATCCAAATCATTTACCTTCTTTACTTGACTTATGCCTTGCTTCTGATCCTAGTCAATTTCTTTACATTCACACTTGGGAGTTTCTGATCACAGTTCAATCTCTTTGAAACTATTATCTCCATCATCAGAATCCTCTTATTATTGTATCTCTTACAACTACCTTAAAGCTGACTGGGACTCTTTGGTGATTTTCTTTGTGATGAACCTTGGATAGAAATCTTTGGTCTTCCTGCTAACAAATGTGCTTCTTATGTAACTTCTTGGATTTAGGCTAACATGGAATCTTTTATTCTCTGTCAACAATTCTAAGGCAAACCTCACTCTTGTTTATGATTTTCCTCTCATTGTGCTGCTGCAATTTCTAATTGTAACCAATACTTTCATATCTATCACCAAAACAATTCTCCAGAAAATAGATGCCTGTTTACTATTGTTAGAAACCATTGTAAAAAGGTTTTGTCTAACACCAAAGCCTGCTTTTCTCAGTTCACAAAATCTTGTATTTCATCTCAATAACTCCAGAGACTTCTAGAGAATTTTTAACAGTGTTTTAAGGGCAAATCTGTTATTTCTTCTCTCTTGCATAGTTTGGATTTCGTTACCTCACCCAATGACAAAGCTTAATTGTTTGCTAGGAACTTTTCATCAATCTTAACTCTTGATTCCACTAATCACATCCTACCTGATAAAGCCATTTCTAAAGCCTTTGATAAAACTAGGCATGCTGGTCTTCTCCATAAGCTCTCTTCATCAGTGTGTCAGGTAACATCTTTAAGATTATTGAATCTTTTTTTATCATTAGTAGCATAAAAGTTGCGCTCAATGGACAGCACTTTTTTTCAATCACTAATTGTTATCGCAACAATTAATCTTAAATCTTAATCCTAAATGACAAAGGGTAGATGAGTCATCTACCCTTTGTCATTTAGGACTAACTTTTATTTCCAATCTTTCTTGGAAATCATATATCAAAATTAGCATCTGCTAAGGTTGCATCTTTTTATCGTGCTTGCCACCTTCTTACTCCTGATTCTATTCTTTAAATTTCAAATCCGTCCTTGTATGGAATACTGTTGCCATATCTGGAGCGGATCTTCCAATGATAGAAGATCCGCTCCAGATATGGCATCTTTCTCTTCTAAACAAGGTGCGAAAACACATTGTAAACATAGTTGGACCTGCTCTTGCAGCCAACCTCCAACTATTATCACATTGTTGTAATGTTGCTTCTCTTTCTCTTTTCTGTAAATAATATAATGGGCATTGATTCAAGAGCTAGAGTCTCTTGTACCATTTACTAAAATTCATTCTTGTGTTAATCCTCATTCAATTAAATCTTATCCTTTTACTGTGACTGTTCCTAAGTGCTCCACAAATTCTTATTTGTCTAGTTTATCCTCTCAAAAATCAGTTCTTTGGAATTTGTTTCCTTCATCTTGTTTTCCTAATTCATATAATTTACAATCTTTTAAGTTGTGTGTTAATTATTATCTTGCTTTATAAACTTCATCTAAAAAAATTGGTTGATTCAAAATAATAAGAAAAATTAATAACCTTCAGAAAAAAGAAGAACTTTTTTCTTTGAGGATGATTTAGAGACTAATTTATTATTAAATGAAATAATCGCCTGTTGTATTTTTCCTGCCTCTAAATTATGTATATAATTTATTTTATACTTTCTATTTAATCAAATTGAACACTTTAAACAAAAACTATTACATAGTTTTGATGCTTAATGATCTCAAACTTTCGAGATTATTAAACAAATTAAGTAAAAGTTAAAACTATTTTGAATTCTAATGATTGCTATATTTATTGGACTTAAATGTTTCTAGTTATTTCAAATTCATTCAAAAGTCATAAAAATTCATTAACATTTAATTTTCATCTTTTTTTAATTTTCTAATTTAACTATCTAATTTTTTTTTCTGACTTTATTAAAAATTATGATTGCAACAACATTTATTACACCAATCAAAACTATTCAGTGTTTTTTATCATTCTGTATTATTCAATAATATTTTTCAAGTTATTCAAATGTTAAATCAAATTTTTGCTTATTCAATAATATTTTTGCACTTTATTTCTAAAGATTGTTTTATCAGATTTAATTAATGTGAGTAATTATATACACTGATTAGAGTGATCATAATGGCTTTAAGGTTTGTATCAAATTGCTAAGGGTAAGTTGGATCATAAAATAACAGCAGGTTTTTATTGATTTTACGCACTTTTCTAATTATTTCTAAAGTAATGGAATTTTTTTTTAATGAAGAAATTAATTTTTGAAAACAAAAACCTGCTAATACTTCTATATCAACAACAAAAACAAAAATAATTTAAGAAAACTGATTTGTTGAATTTAAGAAATCTGATTTGTTGAAATGTAATTCTTTAGTTTCTTTAATACTTGTTTGTTTCTTAATGAAAGTGTAATTCTTTTTTTGTTGTTATCTAAGTTTGATTTTTGTTTGTTTTTACAAAAGTTAGTTAAACATTTGTTTAATTTTTTAACATTTTAATTTTTTTAAATAATTTATTATTTTGTTTTTATATCCTAAAAACAGAACTTCTAAACTAAAAATGTCTCTTGCATTTTTCTAAACTAATTTATTGTTAATTGAATAAGAGAATACTTCTTTTGCAAAAACACGTAAGATATAAATTAATAAATTAGTTTAAATGATAATCCTTGTTATTAAATCTCTTCAGTATTTGAAGTCTTTGAATGCAATTATCAGTTTACTAAATAAGTCAGATGTAAGTGAAGTCTCGCATAATACTACTTTAAAAATATTACTTTATGTAATTATATAATTTTTCTCTGCAAGGCTTAAATTTTCAAAGTGTTGCAACTTACCTGTTCACTGTTGCAACTTTTTTGATCTATTTTATAAACCTGAATTTATAAAAAAATAAAAAAATAAATTATAAATAGAGATAAAATAGTTTTTAAAATATTGTTGCAACTAGCCCTGGTCAAACTAGCCCTGGTCAAACTAGCCCTGGTCAAACTAGCCCTGGTCTCTCCTAAGCATAAGATGTGCTTAATATGTCTAAAAAAGTGTTAGTACATTTTAATATATGTTTTATACGTGTTAAACACGTCTTGTGCTTACTGGGTGGTCTCAAAACTATTTATATTCCAATAATCAAAAACATTTAGTTGCTAACTTGATAATTTTTACTATCTATATTTAAAGGTATTTATATGAAAGTATTTTTTTATTATAAAGTTTGCCTTGCAATTCTTGCAAATTAAATTTGATTCAGCCAAAAGTAAGATGGGAGATCAAAACATCATTTTTTCAAAAGTAGACAATCATTGATTGTTGATCAGCCATTATTTCTAGCACTGTACTGTAAAATAATCATAATTCAAATGTATGAATAATTAGCACATACTGACATATAACAGCTTAATTATTAAGTAATAAATTTAACAAATACCTTAATATATCTTCGGTAAACTCTAACAGCTGTTTCTGGAATGTTGTGCTTGTTGACAAATGCCAAGTATTTTGGCCATATTCTTGAATGCTGGGTAATAGGTAAGGCTCTTAATGCACGATCAAAAGCATGACGTGTTCGAGTAACAAAGCACTGATCAATAAGAAATTGACAGTAATCTAGCCATATGCGCGGCATCTTTAAATTAAAAAAGTTTGAATAATCAAATAGAAAACTTTTTCAACCTTTCTAAAAATGTTTTTAAAAAATTACTAAATAATTATATCTTTCAAAAGTAAATAAAAATTAAATTAATAGTTTTAAAAATTATTTTAAAAGTATTGTAAGCAGTGACAATCACAATATAATCAAACGGGGCCAGGCAAAAAAAAATTATAAGAATAATAAATTTAAAAGCATTTTAATGAAATACTGTATGTATAATATCTTTACTGCTTAGCTATAGTAACATTTCAACATTTAATTACATAACTAAAGTATAACTTTGCCCCTAGTTATGCAGTTAAATGTTAAATTTGTAACATAACAATTTTCCAAAAATTCTTTAAAAATAATAAAGAAAATTTAAAAAATTGTAAATTTCTCTTTCATAAATCATGTTATCTATTATTCAGCAAAATCTTGAATAAAAAACTTTTATATAATGATTATTTTTTTGTGCTAATATTTGGAACCTATTAAATCTTAAAGTGTCTTGATATATAAATACATGAATAGAGATTCTGTATTTTACAAATAATAGGCCATTTTATGAATAATAAGTTCTGGATTTTTTGAAAAAAGGGGCTGCATTTTATTACATTACTTAGTTTTATTCATTTAGTAACGCTTACTTTAATTAACTTTTAAAACAATTTTCATGAAAAAACTTATGCATGTTTTTAGTATTCTAGTAGAGAAATTAATTTAAACAATAAAGGTATTAGTTGAACTATTTATCTTAAACATAGTTAACATAGTATTTTAAACATAAAATAACATAGTTGTTACCATTTAACTAAAAATTTTATTTATTTTACAAAAACAATTCTTTTTAATTAAAAAAATTAAATTTTATTAAACCTTATGCATGAAGACCAGAGCTCTTTCATGAGCATTATTTGCATCTGCATAAATTGGATCTGTAATACATCTATAAGTAAAAGGTTTGTATAAATATAGATATGAAATATACAAAGAGATATATATATATAAATATATATATATATATATATATATATATATATATATATATATATATATATATATATATATATATATATATATATGTATATATATATATGTATATGTATATATATATATATATATATATATATATATATATATATATATATATATATATATATATATATATATATATATATATATATATATATATCTATATCTATATCTATATCTATATATATATATATATATATATATATATATATATATATATATATATATATATATATATATATATATATATATATATATATATATATATACATATATATATATATATATATATATATATATATATATATATATATATATATATATATATATATATATATATATATATATATATATATATATATATATATATATATATATATATAATGGTCAAGTATATTTATATAAATTTCAAAATTTTTACTTTCCCTTGGTTTGCTTCCTTCTCAGTCTCAAATAATTGTACCACAACTTATAACTAAAATAGATGCATTAACTTTTTATTTTGTCATTTTACATTTTACTTCTAATAAAACAAAATAATCAATACAATAATTATTTTACATATATAAAAATTATTTAAGTAATATTTATAGCATTCCTTTCGATTAGAAATAAGAAACAAATAAACCTTCCAGGTAATTCTTTAAGTGCTCTTTCATAGATCAAATTCACAACATGATCTTTTCCTCCATTTCCAATTTTATGTTCAATATATCTTAACCAGCACTTTACAGAGTAGGGATGTCGCAAAATTTCTTCTTCATATGGCATATCCAACTCATCCTGTGTATCAAAGTGTGGGAAATTTCAAATAAATTTAATTTATATGCTATAATTTTTTCACTTTTAGGTAATTTTAGAATCAAAAAAACAAATATATAAATATATATAAATAAATACCAAAACCATTTCAGGCTTCTTACGAACAACCTCTGTCTCAACCATTTTAGTTATTTTATTTATAAACTAAAATTAAAAATGTTAGCATATTCTACAAATAGAGTGTTGAATGTTCTTAATAAACAGAGCAGTAACAAAATGTATATACATTATAAAAAAATTAAAAAGTAATAAAACAAGTTATATTTGCATAATTTCAATTAACAATATTATGTCCAATTTCAGAATTTATTTTAGCTCAGCTTCTACAAGCATTGAGTCTAGCAAAAATTTTATCTTTGGTTCAATATAAGGTTGGTGAAGCCAAATACTAATGCATTGAGTCAAAATTCCAACTTTTGTGGTTTCATTTTTTTTTAATCGAAAAGCAAAAAAATAATCAAAAAGACGCTCCTTTAGCAAATATTCCTTAGTGTACATGTTTAAAATTAGTTTAGCATTTATGTAAAACATCTTGGGAGTCCATGTTGTGAAAACAACAGGCATATTTTCTGGCTCATTCTGTTGGAGTGTTTGTACAGAAGCTGCACTCATGTAATAAATGACTTTTAAGTTATCCACAAGTGAAGTTAACTTTTCAATATTTATTTTCAACTTTGAACGCTGTTCTTTTAGCTGCTTTAGCAAATCTTCACGCTGTAGTGCAATCTTAACATAATATTTTCGTTGTAAAGATTCTGAAAGCTCTTCGATCTTTTCTTCCTCATCATCAAAAAGGTTCCACTGACTGTATAAGTTGCATAGAGTACTTGCTGTATTAAAACTTGATAGATTATCTGATTCCCATTGTTGAATACATTTATGAAAAGATACACATACATCAGACACTCTCCGCTTAACTGTGCTGTCAACTAATGGTTTCTGCAATAAATCGGGAGTACGTATTGGTGATATTAATTTACTGTGTAATTTTGAATCCTTATTCGTAGGGGTTTGCATTTTATTTTTCTATAAATATAATAAATGATAATAAATAAAAAGCAAACCAACATAAAAATGTATTTAAATATATATATATATATATATATATATATATATATATATATATATATATATATATATATAGACATAAAAAATTACAACTCAGGAAATAAAATTGGTACATAAAATATCTTTAATGACATATTGACAGTAATTTGACTCTCAATATAATTCAAGTGATTTATAAATTACTTGAATTCTAAAATTAGGAATTGACATGATTTTATCAATGTATTATATCTAAACAATAGTTTTATACTATAGCATTTTTTGTCAGGTTTTTTTAATGTTTATAGAAATTTTTCTTTACTTTTAAAATTTTTTAAAAATCTTTTATTATCATTAATACAAGATCTAAAGAACAACATTTTGGAGCCTTTAGATTGATATCGCTGATAAGTGTTAACTAAAAACCTAGTACAATTTTTTTTTTTTTGTAAAGTCTACGGAACTTTACAAAAAGTCCCATAAGGTTCTAGTTCTAATCTATTCTGCATAACTGAATATATTTGTCAAAATACAACACTTCCATCAATTTTCATATAAAATCTATGAATACCGATTAAGGAAGAGCTTATAATTAAGAAAATATAATTAAGACTTATCAGAACTAATTATATTATTAAACTATAATATTCATTTCACCTAAAAAACAAATGTATTTAAAATTGTTATCTAATCTAGACAAGCTATTGGCATTTTTTAAAGATTTAGAAAAAATAAACATTTTATCTTCACTCTGGGTTTTCCAGCTCAGAAACATGTTTTGTTAAATACTTTCAGCAAATAAATTGTTTGATGGGATTTAGTCTAGGTCAGCAATATATAATACAGATATAATAATATTATAAAACTACCTTAACTACACCAAGCTTAAATAAATTTAGGTACATTAACAGAGTTGGACTAATGTATGTAAACAGTGTTATTTTTTCAAACTAAATATATTGTAAATGGGCATTTCCAAAAAATCACGCATGGAAACTCGTATATGTTTTGTCTATTATTTTTATAAAAGTAAAACTGGCGTTTTCCAATTTATTCTCATTTAATTCTAATTTATATAATATTTTACAAACAAAAAATGGTATACATTAGTAATCTTAACAATGGATAAATTAAGTTTAAAGCGGAATCACGCACAGAACAAATATAAGTTTCAACAGTATATATATATTTTTAAGCAATATTTTAAATATTTGTAAAGATTTCCAGAAAGTCACAGGTATCATAGAGTGTATCATATGTACCATATATTTATGCATGATAAAATCACAGCAAATGTTTAAATGAAGTTCATGAATAATCACGCACAGAAGTCACGCACAGAAGTTGCGAATTTGGTAATTTTCAGTTTTTTTATGTTCGGAAATAATCACAAGCAATTTATTTTTATGAAAATAAATTGCTTGTGAGTATTTCAAGTGAGATATAATACTTCTACGACTCATATTTAATATATTTTCCATGAGAAATGGCAGCCATCAATTATTTCAAGCTAGAGTATAGCATTTTTTAAAATATTGCATAATTTTCAAACTGTTGCGATATTATTACACAAAAAAAAAAAATTATAAAAATATGTAGGTATCCAGGTAACCTAAAATATGATAATTGTTCTTTTAGAAAATCAAAATAGTATGCATATTCCTTTAAGCCCCACTTTTTAATGTTTAAAATAAAGAAAAATAAAAAATCACATACAGAAATGGAAATGCCCGAATACTAATAAAAATCAAACTAAATATATAGTAAATATAAACAGACCTAAACAGAATTAAACTTTTTAAATTAGATTTCAATGACCAAACTTGTTTTCCCTCAATTTACAGAAAAAAATTATTATACTAAAACATGTAATAATAGTAATATAATCAATAAGATTAATAGGCAAGAAAATTATTCTTTTTTTACATAAGCATGTAAATATTCTTAAAATTAAAGTCAAATAATTTATTTTATTATTTATTATATTAATTACAAAACTTTTTAATAAATAAACTTTCACAATTGAATATATATTTTTATAAAAAAGTGAAAAAAAAAAGAAATTTATTTTATAACTTTATTGAAAATGAAACTCCACATGAACAACTTTTTTCTGCCTTAGGTATATTTGAAACACGAAAACCAGCTCGAATAAGGTCAGTATGATATTCGATGGTAGCTCCATTTAATATTTTAACAGATTCTTTGTCAGCTACAACTTTAGCATTGTCTTTTTCAAAAACCATATCCTCTGCAGGATCAATTTTATTATCAATTTCAAATTTATATTGAAACCCTGAACAGCCTCCACCTTCAACAAGAACTCTCAAAAAATTGTCATTACTTATAATACTTTTTAATCTTTCTACACAAGAGTTATCAATATTTAAACTGGGAACTTGAGATAAAACTGAACATAATCGCTGACTTGGTTTTTTAATTAAAAGCCACTCAAAACTTTTAAATGTTCTCTGTGTTAGTTTAAACATAACTTTTGCTCAAGCATTAAAACCTTTTTCTTTGCTAAAGAAAGAAAAAATAAATATATTTATTTTTCATAAAATATTATATTCTAAAGATTTAAGACAACTAAAATAAAAAACATAACTGAGAAAGAAACATGATTTTATGTGGGAAGATATGATATGATGATACGATATGATATGATATGATATGATATATATATATATATATATATATATATATATATATATATATATATATATATATATATATATATATATATACAAAATAACAATTTTGAAAACAAAATAATTACATAATTTTAATTAGAAATAAAAAACATTATGAAAACATTGTAATACTTCAGTCAAATATGACACATTAAAATCAAAAATGCAGTATAAAAAAATCACACAAAAAATTGTTAGATTGAAAAGTACAAGAAAAAAAAATTAAATGTATAAGTTTGAAATGTAAATGATAATAAAATAATTTTGTTACAATTATCAATAAACATTTTACTTTGATGTTATATTAAATAACTATACAAGTACAGTAGAAAAGTAGTCTATGATACTTAATTAAACAGTATATATAGATTATCTTTGAGAACATCCACCCCACTAAATAACCAGAACTACCACTAATTTATTTGTAAAGCATCCTGGTACTCAGGTTTTAAATTTTAAAAAATCCTAAACCTCATAGGTCAATAAATTTATATATAAAAAAGAATTCTATAGCTAAAATAAAATAAAAAATCAAATAACTTATTTTTTGAGTTTTTATATTTATTTATATATTTACTATTTTACTAAACTTATTAATTTCTGTTTCTTAAAACTTCATTGTTATCTTTCAAAATTAGAATACTTGGAAATACTTAAATATTGGAAATAGAATAGTTGGACTTACTTAATTAACTGTTTATTACCAAAAACATTTTGTTGATAGCTTTTATTTTAGATTTTTCAAAGTAAAAAATACAAATTAAAAACTAAACCAATAAAACTCAATAAAAATTAAAAATCTTTTGAAATATTAATGCTTAAAAGTCATTGATTTTGCCTTAGAACGAACTCCCGTCTTTATTACTTTTCCGATTTTAACATCCTGAGATTGGTAAGCATCTAAAGGAATAGAGTTGGATGGCTTATTAATAAATCTTTTCATATCAACAGCAGAGTAATCAAAAGGCACATAATCTGCCTTTTCTTTTACAGTCTCATCATAGGAAACTTTGACTTTTTGGTCTACTTTTGATATGTCCTGTATTTGCTTTTTTGGTAACAACTCTCTAAGTGTTTTCTCTTCTGCATCATGATTAAATGGTCTCTTTTTCTTTTTTTTTGGCTCAACAACATTGGGTTTAGGCTCAACAACATCAGGTATAGCCTCTACTTTTTTACACGCTTCTTCCCAAGCTTTATTTATTTCAGCTGGTGCAACAATTTCTTTTCCAATATTTGGTAAATACACTAAAAATGGACTAATAAGAGCACTAAGGATGGCAGCAGCCTTTCCTTGATTGCTATAACCCTCAAAAACTTTATCTTCAAAAAGATTGATTGTTGGCTGCTTTGATTCAACACTTGGTCCAGTAACCTTATATATTTCAAATCCACATTTTAAGCTAACATCACTTAGATTGATCTTATTTGTATTTTGAATGTTTTGCAGATCATTAGTATTGTTACTAGACTGGTGACATTTCTGAGGATCGAATTCTCTTGCCAACATAACGAGCAAATGAATTTCTGTATTTCTCTGTTTTACAAGAGGTGGAACTGGGTTGCAACAAGCAATGACCCCTTGTGGTTCTTTCGGTAAATTTTCTGCAATTTGAAATAACATATGATTTGGTAGGGTATAAACAATGCTTTCATCTTCTTCACGAGCAGTTTTATCTCTCCATTCAAACAAAAGTCTAAAACACTCTAACTGTTGAGGATTAAGTCGACCTCTATATTTTTCATATGTAGCTATATAACTATCATTATTAAACAATGGTTTTTGATACATTGTTGCACATATTGAAGTACTTTTAGAATAGACACTTTTTAAAAGATTTTTGTTTGCATTACCTTTATTGAGCAGCTGATTCCTCAATATGTCATAAACATATAATAAGTAATGGGTATCTTCTTGCGCGTAAAGAATCATTTCTTTAGGGATTGGTCTAATTCGCCAATCAGCTAACTGGTATTGCTTTTGGGCATCTACATTGCAATATTTACTCAACAAATATGCCAGTGAGAAACGATCTTCATGAAGAGTTCTTGCAGCTTGACCAGTGTCAAACATGTTCACTACATATACTCCAAAATCTCTTTGTAACCAACCAATATCTGAATCAGCACCATGCATAACTTTAAGTATGTTAGGATCTGAAAAAATTTCATTTATCTTGTACATTTCTTCTCTAAGTGCCAATGTGTCAATGATAAAGTCTTCAAAACGCGTTGATATTTGCATTAGGCAAAGAAACCCCTGAAAAGAACGATAAGAATGATGTTCCAAGTCAACTGCTATTTCTTTTACTTTTTTTAACTTGTTAATTAAATCGTTTAAACCTTCATCTGTGTCAATATATGTTAGGTTTGTAGTGTCTAACATAGGATATTTTAAAGGTTCAGCTTCCTCTAATTGCCAATCATGAGGTTCTAACTTAGAAAGTTCGTAGGCATATGGATGACTTTCAAAATCTTCTATTTCAGTCCTAAAATCACTCAAAATATCACGTTTTATAGCATTGTGTTTTTGCTTTATATAAGGAACAAAAGGTTTATTACTGTTATCAATCTTATTAATAAACTTTAACTGAGGTCTTTGAATATTTTTTGCTAAAAGCAATTTAAAGGCACCACTTTTAGCTGCAGATTTATAATTCTTGTCTTTATTCCAACTGGATACAACAGGAGAACTTTGTTTGTATATAGATGTTGGTGGAAGAATTGGCTTATTATTTTTTTTCAAACCAGCTGCTTCATCTATAAAAAATTTTAAAATAGTAAGTAAATAAAAATAAAGAACAAAAATACTTTTAAAATTTTCAATATATATATATATATATATATATATATATATATATATATATATATATATATATATATATATATATATATATATATATATATATATATATATATATATATATATATATATATATATATATATATATATATATATATATATATATATATATATATATATATATATATATATATATATATATATATATATATATATATATATATATATATATATATATATATATATATGTTTATTAAACGTTCTGTAGATAATTGATATTTTGTCGGAAAAAGATAAATATTGACCATATACCTAATAATGATCCAATTGTTTCCAGCATCACATCATTTGCATCGATTAACCTTTCAAATCTTTCTTCAATGTCTATTTTTTGACTAGACCAAGAACATTGTACACCATGGTGTTTTAAAAGTTCACCAATTATATTTACTAAACGAGATCCTTCTTCCAAACAAAACTCAGAGTATATTGGAAAACTTGAAAAATATTCATAATTTTCTAAATTGGTTGCAAGTGCATTTCCATATTGCGTCAATTGTACAGTTTTTTGTAAAATATCTTGAGTAAATTCTTTAAGAGTGGAATGACCAATTAAAGGAACTTTATCGTCTTCTTGCATGTTTTTTTTTATTTTATTTTATTAAAATTAGTCTTATCATAAAAAGCCGTAACGATACAAGCACCTTCAAACGACAGAAATAATTGTTTTATTGTCGGTTATGAGATTAAACAATTGTCTCAAATAAAAACATCTATTTTATTTCTTATTATTAATATTACAGAGCATGCATTTTAATATTCAATTTGAGACTAAAAAATATAATTAAACTTATTGTTTAAAAAAATATAATTAAACTTAATAGAAGTCCATGTTAATGACGACTAACGTTATCTCGGCCGACAGATTTATGAAACAAAAAACGTTGCACGTGCTCATTTAAATTTAAACAAAAAATAAAAAGTAGTGTTCTTACGACATGAAACAGTTCGACTGTCGACGAGAAATAGTTCGACTATATCGATGCTGAAGTCAAATAAAATCGAGAGGCGGATTTAAACCCCGTTAAGCCCTGCAAGTGACGGGTTTTTAAAAATCATAATTAGCATTACGACGATAATATTAGACTGCCGACTTCAGTGCTGAATTAAGGAGAGGAGCTAAAAAACTCTAAAAACAAATCTTTGAATAACGACATGAAAAAGTGTCTCCTGCTTTTAAATTTCCTTATTTATATTAATAACCTATACAAAGCCTCAGACTTAACAACAATTACGTTTGCTGATGACAAAAATTTATTTATGACACACAAAAACATTCCTACTCTATTTCATTACGTGAACGAGTTAATCAAAATATATGACTAGTTTAAAACTAACAAATTATAGCCTAACATTGATAAAACTAAATGGATTCTTTTTCATCTTTTTATCAGAAAACATAAACCGCCAATTAACATGCCTCAACTAGTTATTGACAATATACAAATTAAAAAAGTAACTATAACCAACTTTCTAGGTATTTGTAAAGATGAAAATCTTACATGAAAAAATCACATTAAAAACTTATCAAGTAAAATTTCAAACAGTATAGGTATATTCTACAAAGCAAGAAATGTTTTAATTAAACATAGTTTTATAATTTTTTTTTTCAGTTTACATTATTTACATCCCGTGTAATATAAACATATAAATTTGGAATCTGGAAGAAGATCACATTCAATCTTGTCGCCAGGAATATTCTGGAAGAAGATCACATTCAATCTTGTCCAACCATATAAAAATTACAATATAAATATAATTTAAAATAATACAGGTGGTTTGTAACAAAATAACAATCTAAAACATTTGAAAAAATAAATGGTTAAAATAATATCTCAAAAATATTTCAATATATTATCGGTTGTAAAAATAATACGCGTTAACTTGTTTTTAAAAACAGAACAAGAGATAGATGAATCTAAATTAGGCTGGACAATTTTATTCCAGAGATAAGGTGCTCGACAATCTATAAGAAATTGATTAAACTTTGTTTGACAAAAGAGTTCTTTTAAATAATTATTATTTCGAAAACTATGTTTATTCTTTACTTTAAAGGTAAGCTAGATCTTTAAAAACGTTTAATAATGGGTTGTTCATACAGCAAAACGTAAAACATAAAGCATTATACAAGTTAAGCTCATAAACGTTTAATACATTCATACTTTTGCATAAAGGTTTTGTGTTTGAAAAACGATTTAAAAAATATATTATTCAGATTGCATGTTTCTGATGGCGGTAAAGACGTTGTAACTTACTTTTACCTGTGCTTCCCCAGGCAATATTTGCAAGGCTATGAATAAATGAGTAATATAGCTGTTTTAAATAATTTTTATTTAAATGATTCCAATACTTTTTAGCACTTTTGTTGATATATAATCAATATGAGTTTTCCATGTCATAATTTTGTCAAGAAAATACCTAGAGTGTTCATAAAATGTAAAAGTCAATCTCCAGCTTTAAACTTTTACCAAAATCCTCCTTCATTTAAAAGATTGTCTGAAATTTTATTCTCCTAATATACTTTTAATTTCAATTATATCACTAATTTATTCATTGTCACATAAGCAATGCAAACATTGTTTGCGTTAGTATAAATAAAAGTAAACTTAAATCTCTTTATTGCCAGCAGAAGCATGTAGCACATCTTATATATTTTAAAGACCGTTAAACTCATGCCAAGCCGCTATTATTTAAAATGACAGTTTTTAATATATATGAGCTTAATATTTTTAATATTCGTTGTTTCTATGTATAAATGTAAAACCAATTCATCCCCAATTTCTTTCCATAAATTGTATTCATCAAAAGATAAAAATAAATACATTTCTCGCAATGTTAATTTTATTAAGCAGCCCACTTTTTAAACAAATTTTTTTAAATTTCGTATTGATTATCGCGGACCATTTTTATGGAATAAAATAGTGAAAAAAAATTTTTACTGAGGATTTTATTCATCAAAGTATCTACTTTTCTTTTAAACGAAAGCTTAAAGAACTCATTTTTAGAATTGAAGATTTAATAATATACTTTTGATATTTTTTAGTGATTTTCCTTTTTACCCTCTATTTAAACATGAATTTATAAAAATTATATATTTATCATTAACAACTGTAATCTACATATATAATAGATATAACACATCTGGTATTTATAACGGAATATTTTATTTTACTTGTTTTTTTATTTTTAACTTTTTTTTTTCGGTTATCTTCAAGTAGGTTAGATTTCTCCTAGATATAATCAAATAATATAATTATTTGATTATATCTAGGAGAAATCTAAGGCAGAGCTCTTGCTGGGTTATAGAACCATTAGCCCTGAATTTTTAATTGGAATATGCTTATATTATGAATAAAAATGTTTTATGGACAGCCCAAATAAAGGCATTCAAATTCTAAAAATCTTGGTTTACATTTTAAAGTTAGACCATTTTTATCACAAAAACACATAAGTTCTTTACTTTTCGTTTATACATAGTCATCTTACATACGCTAACATTGCTTGGGGAAGCACTCACAAGACAAAATTAATTTCCCTTTATCGACGGCAGAAACATGCTTCTAGAATTATATATCATAAAAACAAACATACACATGCTAAACCTCAATTAAAAGAAATGAAAGCGCTAAACATTTATTATTTATTAAAAACTACGGAACTTCCATTTTTTATAACAACAGATAGTATATTGTCATACATTGGTTTTTCAAAAGTTTTTACTCTTTTCAATGTTCTGCGAAAAATTTTGTAACCAAGATGGACCATCTAGTTGGAAAAACTACGGAATTTCCATGGGTATTCAGAAAACTTTTTCAAGGAAAACTCATGGGTTTTCCATGGTAAAAAAGCATGTTTTTTTTTAATCTAATGTTATTTGAATTGGCATATTAAACCATAAAAAGAAAATTTTAACACGCAAGTTGCTAATATTATTTAGTTCTTTTAATCTATGGGATCGCTTTCGCGGAATAAAATCAATAAACAAAATAAAATTTAAATCTTTTTGAATCCTACAAATCTTTGAAAAATAGTAGCTGTAAATATATAATTCACCTAAAACATTAAAACTTGACTTCACCGCAACATTTAACGCATGCATATGCATAAACATAATGAAAATAAATAAAACAAAAAATTACAAGTAATATCATACTATAAGTGATATACATAGTGATAAACAATTAAAATAGATTAATAAAACAATTTTTAGAGAAAATATAATAATTTACATGTTTATTATTTTATATTAACTATTTGTTAAAAATAGTATATATAAACTTTATAATTAATAACTTAAAGTTTCAACAATTTAAAAAGAACCATCAATACAACATATTCAATCCAAAAAAACTTCAAGACCATTTATAAGTGCGATTGCACCGTCAACCGTATTATACAACGATTGCACCGCCAGCAGAACCAGGTAGACGTCAAACAAAGTACCATTCACGTTTTGATATTCATTATTGTTTTCACCACATTTAGTATCATTATCCATTTCACCAATCTAGACATTACATCATACAATTAACATATACATACTAGCTAATTTTCTTTATTTACTTATTCATTTATACTATATTATATATTTGATATATTTATAATATATCAATATTATCAATTATAACTTAATTACGCATTATACGCATTTATAAATGTTGCGAAATGTTGGGTAACATTTATATAGAAAAAAGTAGCAATGAATATATCATCATTTATAAATAACAATTATAAGATTATTACCTCTTTTTTGCCCAAGCTATCTGTATGATGTACAACATCGTTTATATTTCCAGTCAAACATTCCTGACTATAATGTAATTTAAATAAAATGATAAAGTTAAAATGAAAATATTTATGCACAAACTAATACATATATAAATGTTACCTGCCTGTTAGTAACCTTTATATAGAACAAGGCAGCAACAAATATAGTATTACTTATAAATTGTAATTTTAAAAAACAACATTATTTATATTGCCAGTCAAACCTGCCTGATGATAATTTAGTAATTTAAATAAAATGATAAAGTTAAAATAGAAAGGTTTATAAAAATAAATTTTACCTGTATGTTGATAACATTTATATAGAACAAGCAAAATATGTGTTATTACTCATAAATCGTAATTTAAAAAAACATTCCTTCTTCCTTGTCCGATCTATCTGAAAGATGTAAAGCATTATTTCTATCGCCAGTCAAACTTAGCTACTTATAATGCAGTGATTTAAATAAAATGATAAAGTTAAAATAAAAGAATTTTTCACACACTATTAAATTCAAAAATTTATTATATTTTTACTTTACTATTTAAAACAAAACATTTATAATAAATATGTAATTTATTAAGTAACATTTACAAATAAAACCTTATTTTTGTAATATTTATTCAATGACATACCTTTTAATGCATGTTTATTAAATTATTTTATGACCTTGATTTTTATATTATAAAAGCAATCAAATTTTCTGTAATTTTAAAAAAGTAAGATTTTAAACAACCTTGTTCTTGAGCATGCAACAGACGAGCGTTTGAGATGCAAAGGTTTTTGAGATTAACACCAACTTTATTAAAAGATTGACCTTTATCTAAAGTTTTATCTTTCAAAAGAGAATCGTCTTCGAGTTCCTTAAACTAAAAAACACTGAATTTATTAATTTATTAGTAATGTAAAAAAATAATAAATATTAAAGTGTGTGCATAAATTAATTTATTTGTACTTATGCATATCCTTATTCTAGCTGTTTTTTATTAACTAGTTTCTTTTTATGAAAAAAATATTTCCACTCGTTTA